GTATGGATAAGTGTAAAGAAAGAAACTAGGCCCTAAGTTTATAGGGTCCTTCCCAATAGTACGAGTCATTAATCCGGTAACCGTGCAACTCCGTCTTCCCCGATTACTAGGGGAAACCCATCTGGTATTCCATTGTAGCCTACTCTGACCAGTCCATATAACTCCCCTGAGGGGCGCCTCAGGATTGTCCCTTCACCTCCTACCATGGTAGGAAGGGAACAACACTACGAGGTAGAGGACATACTAGATACCTGCTGGCACAGAAAGAAACTTCAGTATTTGATAATGTGGAAAGGGTATCTGCTGTCAGAGGCATCCTGGGTCCCGATGGAGGGTGTCAAGGCCCCGAGACTGACCACTAGATTCCATAGGAAGAATCCAGACAAACCCAGGGCCCCTGACCCGTGCTACTACTCACTGTGATCTTTATATTCCAGGCGTGGTCCTCATGGTAGGGGTCCACATGTCATCCCCGGTGCAGCCAGCACTTCCACAGCCCACCGAACTAACCTTGATCCTACTGCCTCCAGGAGGCCGCCAGCCACTGCTACAGACTATTCTCATTCCTCAAGGGAAGGATGACGTCATGAGGCAGCCAGCAGCATTCTCCGCGGTTGAATTGCAAGTATCTCCGAGCGATGGGAGGCTCCCAGAGGCAAGGAGTAAGCCTAGCAGCACTGGAAGTGCTGGCCTGAACTGGGAGCTGAAACTGCTGGCAAGACTATGGCAGAAAGAGTTGAAAGTGCTGGCAGGACAGGCTGATTAGGGCTGATTGTGGCTTACTGACATTCCCGCAGTAGGAAGTAGGTAGGAATAAGGTGGGGGTGACCAGTGTATTGGCGGATAGCCCATGGATTAGGACCGTGGGTATAAGAGTGGGATTGCTTTAATGGGCTGCTTAGGCACAAGACTTTATAAGGTGGTAGGGAGCATGGAGCAATAGCTCCAACAATATTTCCTTTCATTTTTTATGGATGTCAGTCTGTACCAATAAAGCATCTTCTAACCATCATCATCAAGGTTTGGAGTCTTTTATTTTGGAACCTGACACCCATTCAGTTATGAAATTTATTTGTTGACTTGGGTCAATCGTGAGTTCATAGAATTGCAAAGAGTTATTGTCATAAGTACCTGGAAGAGTTGGGGACAGATTTTATATATATATATACATACCATGCATTTCCCCGAAAATAAGACCCAGTTTTATTTTCTTTTGGGCCCCAAAGTAAGCACCAGTTCTTAGTTTTGGAGGATTTCTTACCCGCTTACTTTAGGACCATCGCAGCCAGGGCATGCACACCCCGACACCTGTTACACTGCCAGCTAATGTCTTCTGCGGCCGCGAGCGGCCATACACTGCATAGCTTGTCATGCAGCCCATGCAAGCTGCCGTTTGCGGCAGGACGCCATGTGGCATGTTGCGCCATTACCACAGTTCACACCAGGGATGAATCCAGGGCCCACTGAAAATGGTAGCTGCTTTGGAAATATAACGATGATGGAATTAACTGAAGCGCTTAAAAAACAAAAGAATGGGAAGGCACCAGGGCCGGACGGATTACCAGCAGAATATTACAAGACATTACAGGAATCGCTGAATCTCCCATTGTTAGAAATCATGAATTAAGTCATGTCAAAGATGAAATTACCCAAGTCAAGGTCAGAAGCATATATTACACTTGTTCCGAAGGAGGATACCGACTCACAACAAATTAAGAATTATAGGCCTATCTCCCTGCTAAATTCAGACTATAAAATCTTCACTTCAATATTGGCAGAAAGGCTTAAAAGATATTTAAATAATTTCATACACTCCGATTAAAATGGGTTTTTGCCAAAAAGACAGATTAAAGGTAACATGAGAATAATCCTAGATACATTGGAATATTACGAGGCACATCCTGAAAAGCAAATGGCTTTGATATTTTTAGATGCTCAGAAAGCCTTTGATAATGTGAACTGGTGATTCATGTTATTACAGCTGGAACAGATGGGCTTTGGTAGAAAATTTATTCAAGCCATAGAAGCCATATACTACAAACAAACAGCAAAAGTAATGATCAATGGAGAATTGACAGTCTATTTAAATAAAAAAAGGTACGAGACAATGTCCACTGTCACCTATATTGTTTGTATTAACATTAGAAGTGCTAAACAGAAATATTAGAGAAGATAAAGATATAAAGGGAATGAAGATTCAAAAGGAAGAATACAAATTGCAAGCATTTGCTGATGAATCAACAACTAAATTGATAGACAAAATAGGAGAATATGGAAAAGTAGCTGGTTTGAAATAAAGACAAAACTAAGATCTTGACAAAGCATATGTTAATAAAACAAAAAGAAGAATTGGCGGAAATATCAAAGATGCAGGTCACAAATAAGGTTAAATACTTGGGGATATATTTGACAACGAGATGCAGTGCACTCAAAGAGAATAACTATAAGAAACTTAAGCAACAGATAGTGACAGATTTGGCAAAGTGGGAAAATTTACAACTGTCATTGATAGGGAGAATATCAACGATTAAGATGAATATATTGTCTAGAATCCTATACCTGTTTCAGAAAATTCCAATCAGATTGGGGAAAGATTATTTTGAAAATTTGAATAAAATAGTGCTGAAATACATTTGGAAGGGTAAAAAAGCAAGGATAAAACTAAAATTGTTGCAAGATGCCAGAATACGAGGAGGTTTTGGCTTGCCTAATTGGGAACTATACTATCAAGCGATAAGTTTGATGTGGATTAAGCAATGGATAACGCTAAGAAATCCAAGATTATTGACCTTAGAAGGGCATGATTTGTTACTGGGTTGGCATGCCTTTTTATGGTACAAGAAAACAAAAACACAGGGGTATTTTAGAAGACATTTCATATGAGACGCTATGCTATTAAACTGGGAGAAGGTAAAAAAACAATATTATTTAAAAATTCCGGTCTGGTTATCATCTATTGAAGTATTCTCACATTCAATAACATTTCGAAAGGAACAAATTGTTAGATATAGTGAATTACTGAATGAAAAGGGTGAACTTAAATCTTTGCAAGAATTAGAAGTACAAGGCATAAAGATGAATTGGTTTTCTTATTTGCAAATACAGTCTAGACATGGTAAAGATTATAAATCAGAAGGGTTCTATAACAATTTGACTAATTTAGATAAAATCTTAACAGGTACTGATGAAAACATAATTTAAAAATTGTATGGATATTTATTAGAGGTTAAATTAGAGGATGAACAAGTTTGGGGGGAAAATTTTGGACATGGAATTGACTTAAGAGAAATGGCAAAAATTGTGGTCGCAAAATTATAAAATGACAGTCAACTGCATATAAAGAAAATTTGTATAAGATGTTTTACAAGTGACATTTACCCCCCACGAGAATAGTCAGAATGTTCAAGAATAAATCTGAAAAATGTTGGAAATGTCATCAGATACCGGGTTCATATTACCATATGTGGTGGACATGTGCAGAAGCTAAAAGATACTGAACTAAAATCCACACATGGGTGGAAAAAATGAAACAAAAACATATAGATTTTAAACCAGATTTTTTTTATTGGGGATTGTACCTTAGATAATAGAGAATTGAGATATTTTATTGTGAATGTATTAACAGCGGCTAGAATTGTGTTTGCTAAAAATTGGAAAAATGAGAAAATGCCAACGCAAGACGAAGTTATTAAGAAAATAATGGAATGTGCTGAAATGAGTAAATTGACATTTCAAATTAGAGAACAAGAAGATAAACAATATTATAAGATATAGGATCTATTTTACCAATGGTTAGATAAAGAGACATGGAAACGAAATATGGTAGAGATTTTTCTAATGTAAGAAATGTAGAATTATATAAAATATAATATAAAGATGTACTGTTATTGGAATGATTTAGAAGAATGAATGGCATAACACAAATTAACTCAAATCTTAGACTATTGTGTATGAAATGAGGGAAGAAACAGCCATAGTTAAACATATGATTAATGAGGATAATAATACATGGATATATGAATAGAGTGAAGATGCACAAAAGACTTGTAACCAACTGACACGCTGTTTATATTCGTATTGAAGATGGTTTTTTGTTTTTTATATATTTGTTTAAAAATAAAATTTTTGTCAAAAAAAAGAAAGAAAGAAAATGGTGGCTGCTTCCAGGACAAATTCATGAGGTCCAAGGATGCATGTCCTTCCCTCTGTCCCCACACTGAGGTTAAGAGATAGGAGGGTGTGAGGTCGGGTGGGGTAGGGTGGGGTGGGAGTCAGGACACTGGGAGGGAGTGAAGGGCCCAGGGGACACAAGGGTTAGGATACAGAGCACAAGGATGTCTTGGAGGGTAGGGGGGCGTAGAGATGCCTACGGCAGGCAAGCCTGGCCATGCGCTAGATCTCCAAGAGTTTTCCCCAGCTCTGAGTAGACAGTGTTCTGCTTAACAACTTGCATATTTGATTAATGGCTGCCTCAGGGAGAGCAGATGGATTCGGGTAGTTAAGGAAAGCAATTTCGCTTAACAGTCGTTGCAACATGCACCCATAATTCAAAGTCCATAATAGTTATATCTTGAGGACTACCTTTATGCTGACTGCGGAATTCTGGGGCTCAAAAACTGGGCGGAAACCAAGGTACATGATTGAAACTACACATGTGGGAATTACATAATCAAAATACAAAAGCTCCACCCAAAATTCCTTTTTGAGGAATTCAACTACTTCTGGAAAAGGAAATATCCAGAAGCTTCTGCTAATAACCAGAAACTAGTTAACCATTTTCCATTTTCCTTTTCTCTCCACCTACGAATTTAATCCTGAGAAATGTTTGAGCAAAATGAATCAGGCCAAAATTCAAACAATCAATTTCTCACCTAAACTTTCAATGGGAGATCACAAATGAAATTCAAGCATTCTCTAAACTCATCTACTATTCCTCATATAGATTACCTTGTGTGAAATAAGGGATGATTTATGCTAGAAGTAATGTCCACAGACTGGTCATTTCAAAGATTTCTTCACGGTGTGAGTCCTCTGGTGTCTCATAAGGCTGGAATTATAACAAAAACGTTTCCTACAGATAGAACATACAAAGGGTTTCTCTTCTGTGTGAGTCCTCTGGTGTGTCACCAGGTTGGAAGTGTGACTAAATTTTTTCCCACAATCAGGACATTCATAGGGTTTCTCTCCTGTGTGAGTCCTATGGTGTATCACCAGGCTAAAATTATTACTATAACTTTTCCCACATATAGGACATTCAAAGGGTTTTTCTCCTGTGTGAGTCCTCTCGTGTTTTACCAGGCTAGAATTATTACTATAACGTTTCCCACAGATAGGACATTCAAAGGGTTTTTCTCCTGTATGAGTCCTCTGGTGTGTCAACAGGTAGGAATTCTGACTGTAACTTTTCCCACAGTCAGGACATTCAAAGGGTTTCTCTCCTGTGTGACTCCTCTGGTGTCTCAGAAGATTGTAATTATCACTACAGCTTTTCCCACAGATAGGACATTCAAATGGTTTCTCTCCTGTGTGAGTCCACTGGTGAATCACCAGGTGGGAATTCTGACTGTAACGTTTCCCACAGTCAGGACATTCAAAGGGTTTCTCTCCTGTGTGAGTCCTCTGGTGTGTCACCAGACTGGAATTATCACTAAAGCTTTTCCCACAGTCTGGACATTCAAAGGGTTTCTCTCCTGTGTGAGTCCTCTGGTGAATCACCAGGTGAGAATTCTGACTGTAACGTTTCCCACAATCAGGACATTCAAAGGGTTTCTCTCCTGTGTGAGTCCTCTGGTGTGTCAGCAGATTGGAATTACTACTAAAGCTTTTCCCACAGTCAGGACATTCAAAGGGTTTCTCTCCTGTGTGTGTGATCCTGTGTCTCAGGAGATGGTAATTTCTAATGAAACCTTTCCCACAATCTTGACACTCATAAGGTTTCTCCATGGCGTAAGGCGGGAATTATGACTGAAACTTCTCCCACAATCCAGCCATTAAACGGGTTTTTCTCCTTTATGATTCCTCTGGTCTATCACCAAGTTGGAATTATAACTGAAAGTTTCCCAACAATCAGAATATTCAAAGCATTCAAACCGTCTTTTGCTGAATGATAAATAATCTCTCTTCACTTTTCATGTAACGTAACCTTCATTTCTACATAATCTGCTTATTCTTTCTTGATTTTCTCTCTTTTGTCTAACAACTGCTGGAGGAAGAGCATCATTGTATGATTTTCTGAAGGAAACGGAACATATTTTGATTTCTGGCTTGACTTCCTTCCCTTTTCAACGCTGCTTGTTATTTACAGTTGTCCACAGTGCTCGTATTGCCATCCTGTTTGTCTGTAAGATTCAAAGAAAAGTGTAACTTTGTTTATAAAATGGTTAGAGATGTGAGAAAAGAAAAAAAGTATATATTACAATGAAAAAACAAACATGCCCCAATACTAAAATAATCACTTACATTATTGATGATTCATATAACACATGAAGTACCATTGAAATCCATGTTCAAATATCCATTCAATCAAATTCAGTTATTTAGTTGGGTCAATCATAAATTCTTAGCAATGCAAAGTTTTATCATCAAATATACCTGGGATAGGTTATATCTTTGCAGATATATGCATAGAAAGAAATAAAGATACACCCACCTACACATGTATACAGGGAGAAAATCTATGTCTTTCAAGCCTGACAAAATGTCCCAATTTGGTTACAGTCAAACCTTTGGAGCTAAATTTAAGAGATGTGGGGGCTTTAGCTGATGAAATGATGCCAAAAGCCTCTGCAAGCTTTGAAGCACCACTTTTGCTCATGGAAGTCTTCAGCTGCAAATAAGAGCAGAAAATACTGTCTACAACCCCTCTGGTGAAATTCCAATTCAAGTAGTCTTCACTTAACCTACCACAATTGGAACTGAGCGTCACTAATCATTAAGCATGATGTCACATGACAGTGCCAACTTACATCTGTTTCTCTGTAGTTGTTAAGCAAATTACTGTGGGTTGTTAAAGGCAATTTCATATGACCGTGACTTGCAAATTCCTGCCCGTATATCCACTGATTTTGCTGGTCAGAAGCTATCTGGGAAGGCCACAAATTGGGATCATGAGTATGGGATGTTGCAGCCATCATAAATGTGTAACTATTGGTAGAATCCGCTGTGACTTCTTTTCCTAAATCTTCAAAACCACACTCACTGCTGAAGTGCGGTCACTGAACAAGTGATAGGATTACCACAAATTTTGTGGACCAGGTGCATGTCTGCTTCTACTGTACCATAGTAACTTTGAAGGCTCAGGGAAGAAGTGGTAAGTGAGGACTACCTGTGCAACCAAAGATGGGGAACCAAGAAGAAACTGGCATGGTTGCATAAAGATCTCTCTGATAAACTGAAAGACAAAAAGAACAAGTATAAAAAATGGAAAAAGAGACACATAACTATGCAGAATACCAGCATATAGCCCGAATCTGCAAAGATGAAATGAAGCTCATGCTGAGAATGAACTAACACTTGCAACAAATGTCAAAAATAATTTTAAAACATGTATAAAACAAGAAAAAAGTCAAGGAAACAGTCAGTCCACTAATGGGAAACGATGGCAAAGAAGAAGTGACCAGCAGTAGAGACACAGCAGAGCTACTTAATTCATTATTTGCATCTATCTTCAGGCAAAAAGAAAAAATAGCCAAATCTACCAAAAACAGAACTGTAAAAGGCAGACTAGGAATACAAATTAAAACAGGCAAGAAAATGATAGGAAAACATCTGTCCATTCTGGACGAGTTCTAACCACCAGGACTACATTGATTACATCCCCGAGTTCTGAAGGAGCTGGCAGACGTGATCTAAGAACCATTGAACCATAGATTTCAAAGATCTTCACACACCAAGGAACTACCGGTGGACTGGAAAAGAGCTGATGTAATTAGGGGGGGGAAAGGTGCGTCTTATACTCCAAAAAATACTGTAGTTCCCATCTTCCAAAAAAGGGAGAAAATGGATCATAAAACTACAGGCCAATTAGCCTGACATCACTACCTGGGAAGATCCTGGAAAAGATAATGAAACAAGAGATCTGCTAACACCTAGAAGCAAGCAAATATATAACCAGAAGTCAACATGGGTTTGTCAAAAACAGATCATTCCAAACAAATGTTATTTCATTTTTACACAAAGTGACTAGATTAGTGGACCAATCAAATATATAGTATAATTGGATTTCAGTAATGCAGTTGACAAAGTAGACCATAATTACTTCTTGGTAAATTAGAAAAATGTGGGATAGGTACATCCATCCACACAGATGGATTCATAACTGGCTGAAAAACCACACTCAAAGTGTATTCCTTAATGGGACTATATCTATATGGAGAGAAGGAAGCAGTGGGTACCCCAAGGTCCTGTTTTAGTACTCTTTAATATCTTTGTAAATGCCTTAGATGAGGGAATCGAACGGGAACGCATCAAATTTACAAATGACACAAGTTAGCAGGAATAGCCAATACCTCAGAAGATAGGCTCGAGATAAAGAAATTTTGATAGATTTTAACACTGGGCCCTACTTAACAAAATGAAGTTCGATGGAGGAAAAATATAAGGTTTTACACTTATGCAAGAAAAACCAAATATACTGGTACAGAATAGATAGAACTTGGCTCAAGCAGTAATTATGAGAGGGCCCTTGAAGTCCTAGTGGACAATCATTTAGATATGAGCCAGCAGTGTATTGCAAGGGGAAAAAAACCCAATACAATACTAGGCTGCATTAACAGAGAGAGAGAATCAAGAACCTGTGAAGTACTAGTACCACTTTATAAAGAGTAAGACCACACTTAGAAAATTGCATACAGTTTGGTCACCATATCATTAAAAACATGTTGAAACTCTGGAAAGAACGCAGAAAAAGAGCAGCAAAGAGGATATAAAGAAGGGTTGCAGGAACTGGGTATGTCTAGTCTAGTGAAAGGAAGGACTAGGGGAGATATGATAGCGGTCTTCCAAGGCATGAGGACTTGCCACAAAGAAGAAGGGGTCAACCTATTCTCCAAAGCCCCTGAAGGCAGGACTAGAAACTGGATGGAAACTAAGCAAGGAGAGAAGCAACTTCGAACTAAGGAGAAACTTCTGACGCTGAGAACAGTTAACCAGGGGAAGGATTTGCCTTCAGACGTTGTAGGGGATCCATCACTGGAGGCTTTTAAACAGAGACAGGACAGCCATTTGTCTGAAATGATATTGGGTCTCCTGCTTGATCAGAGGGCTGAGCAGGGCGTCGGAATAGAAGACCTGCAAGGTCCCTTCCAGCCCTGTTACAAACCCTCCAGGGACGGAGCAGCCACAACCTCTGGAGGGAAGCCATTCCCAAAGAACCAACCTCCACTTGAAAGAGGCTTTTTCAAGCTTCCCACCAGCAGAAATTGCAGCCCCCAGTTTCCCAGCCTGCAGCACCAGTGGGCTTCCATTTGGGGAGGGAAGGAACCTGCAGCAGCCGCAGCTGAGAGGCTTCAGCCCAGTTGCTTCTCCGCTTCCAGCCCAAGTTGCTCCCGGACTCTCCTCCCACCTGCTGCCCTCCACTCACCTGCCAGCTGCTGCTTCCACCATGGAAACAGCACAAAAGCCGCTCTGCACACCAACTTCCTCCCATGAGCCATCCGGAAGAGGAAGTTCGGCTGTCCCAAGGGTGCTTTTTCAAAAGGAAACTCGACTTCCTTCTACACTTCCCTCATCTTCCAACCTTTCTAGCAATAAAGTACTCTATGGTTTTAACTCCTTTAAACTCAACCATGGATGATATCTGCTTTCTAGGCACAGGTGTTGCCTGTTTGACCACCATCTCCTACCAGGAGGCAGAAAAACATGTTTCTCCAGCCTCTGTCTAAGGCCTTTGCAACATGTTTCCACTAATTAAATGCTATGTTTTTGACTTCTGAGCCTAGTGAAATGTGATGCTGCTTATCTTACAAAGATTAGCTATGTGTTCAGTGGTAAAAGTTCATGAAGGTTTTATAGAATTACACAATCAGCTTTCTTAGGGGTGACTCTCAGTGGAGATCAAAACCTCTCTAATACCCCAAAATCTGATTTCCTGTGGCTCCCAGGATTTTGGACACTGCAGGGGAGCCAGCTTCACTCCTGCTGGCCAGGGCTGCGTCCAAGAGCATCAACAACCAATCTTCATTGCTGAAGGAGGAAATTTTATATCTCCTAAATGCCGTGTATAAATTCTGTAAATTTGCTTGCACTGAAGTCTCCATTAGGTCCTTAGAATGCCCCTTGACATGTATGACTGCTACTTGTTTTGGCTGCCAGACTGCTTCTAATAATTCTAAAATTTGTGGGACATACTTAATAATTGACCCTTTTTCCTTTAATAATCCTCTTTCCTTCCATAGAGCTCCATGAGTGTGCAAGATTCCAAAGGCATATTTGCTATCTGTGTAAATATTTACTGTTAGTCCTACAGTAAGGTGACCAGATTTTAACATTGGTAAAATGGGACACCATTGTGGGCATGGCTTATTTTGTGGGCGTGGCTTGGAGGTCATGTGACTGGGTGGGTGTGGCTACCTGGTCATGTGACCGGGTGGCCATGGCTATGTGTATAGGGACTACTCAGAGGGCTGAAAAAAGTCATTTCTGACAGGTCCTCGCACTTTTGACTGGTCCTCACACTTATGACCATCCTCACATTTATGCCCGTGCAGCATTCTTAACAACCATGTCACTCTTTCTTTTGTGTTTTAAAATCTTGAACTCTCCTCTTTTGCCCTAAATTTCCCATTGTTTGCAGTTTTGCATCTACCTTTTTTGGTGAGGAAAAAGAAAAAGAAATCTCTCTCTGCCTCATTTTGTCACATTGCAGCAAAGACCCTGCTTTACTTTCGCTTTAGCTTTTTCAGCATAGCTAGGGGAAAAAAAATCTGCTCCAGGAACTCTTTGCAGCTAGCAACAGAACAGGGCTCTGCGCAAATCAGCTGAGAGCAAATCAGCTGAGAGTGGAGAAGCCGAGCTAATCAACTTGTGCTTATTAACCTATGCGGAAGCTGTAAGGGGCTGTTTTTTCTATTTTTGCAGGCATCGGTCTACTCATTTGTTTTCTTTTAACACTGATCAGCTGTAGGACGGCCCTTTGAAGCCCCACGGCAAGAGTTTAAACTGTTTTTTCCCTCTAGCCATCAGCTGGGACTCAGGAGGCAGCCAGGACTCAGGAGGCAGAATGAAAAATCGGGACTTTTTTAAAATGCCGCGGGACGTGGGGCAAATTGCTAACAATCGGGACTGTCCTGCCAAAAGCGGGACGTCTGGTCACCTTATCCTACAGCCAACTGTAAGGGTCTAGTTAAAGCTACCAGCTCAGCCAGTTGGGCAGAAGTGTGTACTGGTAGTGGTTTGGCTTCTATAACTTCCCATGGTGTGACCACTGCATATCCTGCTTTACTCAGACCTTCTATCATAAAGCTATTACCATCTGTAAACCATTCACAGTCAGTATTTGGGATTGGTTGATCACTAAAATCGGGTCTACTGGCATATACAGAATCTGCAACCTGTACGCAATCATGAGGCAATTCAGTATCCACCTGGGGCAAGAATGTAGCTGGATTGAGGGCATTGCATACCTCTAATTGTATAGCTGGGGAGTCAAGCAGGATTGTCTGATACTTGGCTTGGCGGCCCCCAGCCATTCAAACTGCTCCTTTCCCTTCCATTATCTCTTGAACCCCATGTGGGACTTTGACTTTTGAGCTTCCTCAACTAGCAGTGCAGTTGCTGCCACAGCTCACAGACATCCAGGCTAGCCCAATGCCACCCCATCTGTTTGCTTACTAAAATATGCCACAGGCCTTTGCCACGAGCCTAGTTTCTGGGTGAGAACTCCTGCTGCAATGCCTTCCCACTCATGTACAAAGACGGTTAAAGGTCTAGTGGGGTCTGGAAGCCCCAGTGCTGGTGCTCTCATAAGCTCACTCTTTATTTGTGTGGATGCTTGTTGGCATTCTCCAGTCCATTCAAATATTTCCCTGTCCCCTCCTTTGACTGCTTCATAGAGGGGCTTGACAATTAATCCAAAGTTAGGAATCCAAATTCTACAAAAACCAGCCATTCCCAAGATTCCTCTTAGTTGTTTTCTGTTAACAGGGGTCTTTAATTGACATATGGCTTCCCTCCTTGGGGCTAACAGTCTCCACTGTCCTGCAGAGATGCCATACCTTAAGTATTTAACCTCCTGCTGTGCAATTTGGGCTTTTGCTTTAGATACCTTATAGCCACAGGTTGCCAGGCAATTTAAGAGCAGTATAGTTCCCTCTATACATTTCTCCCTTGTATCAGTACCTAAAAGCAAACCATCCACAGAAGAGAAGAGAAGGAAATGGGAAAATATTGAGAGGGAAAATTAAAAGAGTAAAATTTAGAGAAGGCAGAAAGGGATATATAAGAAAAAGAAAAAGATAAGAGAATGGGAGAAAAGGAGAAAATTATCAAGAAATGGAATTGTGGAGAGGTTAAAAAGAAAATGGGTAAAAAAGGGATAGTAGAAAGGAAATTAAAATATCAGTATGTTGATTTAAGAGAAGAATATTAATAGAAACTGTATGTAAAAAGTAAGTTAGAAGAAAAATATAGATTATTGTAAAAGGGATATAAGTAAGGATGAAATGAAATGTGGGCAAGAAGCAAAAAAGAAGAAAGATGCTGTTTAATGTAAAATAGAACAGTAGATGTAATATGAAAGACAGAATGGGTTATATGTTTTGTTGTCTGAAAAAGTATAGATTGGAGAGAAATAATAGTGGATGGTAAAGAAGAGTGTGTTAAAGAGGGAGACGAACAAAGGAATTAATTGAAATTAAGATGAAAAACTGAGATGTAAAAGTGAATAAAATTGAAATGTTAGTAAATGATGTAAGTAAGAATGAAATGAAATATAAGTAAGAAGTAAAAAAGAAGAAAGTTATTGTTAAAGGTAAAATAGATTAAGGATTGGAAGGCCAACTCAGCAAAGGCTTTAAGGTAAAAATGGAGTAAGTTGAAATATATTGTTAATAATTAAAAAGAGGAGGGGAATTCTGAGAAATATATTTAATAAATGGAGGAAAAGTCGGGGTTGCCTGGACACCATAGTGGAAAATAGTAAATTAAAAATGAATACAACAATAGAGAGAGACGAAAGGAGTAGAGGGATGGAAGGAAGGGAAGAGGGGAGGAAGGGAGGGGAAATAAGAGTACGAGAGAAGATTAGACGGGAGAAAGAGGAGGAGGAGGAGAAGGGGAAGTAGGGAAAAAGTAGGAGAGGAGTAAAGAAGAAAGTAGGAAGGATAAAAGAAGGGAGGGAGACGGAAGGGAACGAGAAGATTGCTGTACAATAAAAAAGATGAAATGGAAGAAAGGCAACCCCGAACATGTGTAAATGTATTAGGATAAAGAATGAATTATTAAAAAAGTAAAAAAGAATAAATATGAGTAAACATAGAAAAATTAGAATTTGAGGGCGAATAAAAAAAAAAGATGTATAAAGATGTTGTTTATATAAATAAACATAGAAATATTAAGATATGATTAAAAAATATGGAAACAGATGATCTTGGCAGAAATTGTAATTAAGTAAAATGTATTTGCATACAATAAGTTGTATAAGATATGACATGGCCAATACTCTGTTCATAAAATATGTAGCTGAATGGGGTGTGGGGGGGGGGGAGAAAAAAAAAATAAAGAAAACTTGATTAAAAAAAAAAGGTTTATTTGTGACTAATTGTGTCTTGTAATGACTCAGTAAGCCTAGGTCAAACACATGTTGCACCATTACCACAGTTCACAGCAGGGATGAATCCAGGGCCCACTGAAAATGGTGGCTGCTTCCAGGACAAAATCATGAGGCCCAAGGATGCATGTCCTTCCCTCCCTCCCCAACATGAGGTTCAGAGATCTTCAAAAGGTAAGGAGGAGGAGGGTGAGAGGTCGGGTGGGGTGGGAGTCAGGTGTCAAGGGGACCGTGGAGGGCAGTGAAGGGCCAAGGGGACACAAAGGTTAGGATACAGAGCACAAGGATGTCTTGGAGGGTAGGGGGGCCTAGAAATGCCTACAGCAGGCAAGCCTGGCCATGCGCTAGATCTCCAAGAGTTTTCCCCAGCTCTGAGTAGATAGTGTTCTGTTTAGCGACTCGCATATTTGATTAATGGCAATTTCACTTAACAGCCGTTGCAACATGCAACGGTAATTCAACGCCCATAATAATTATATAAATCAAATAAAAATAAATAAATAAATAAAAATAACAGCGACGCAGTGGCTCAGTGGCTCAGAGGCTGAGCTTGTCGATTGAAAGATCGGCAGTTCAGCGGTTTGAATCCCTAGTGCCGCATAACGGGGTGAGCTCTTGTTACTTGTCCCAGCTTCTGCCAACCTAGCAGTTCAAAGGCATGTAAAAAATGAAAGTAGAAAAAATAGGGACCACCTTTGGTAGGAAGATAACAGCGTTCCATGCACCTTTGGCATTTAGTCATGCCGGCCACATGACCACAGAGACATCTTCGGACAGCGCTGGCTCTTTGGCTTTGAAACGGAGATGAGCACCGCCCTCTAGAGTCCGGAAAGACTAGCAGATATGTGTGAGGGGAACTTTTACCTTTACCTAATAGTTATATCTTGAGGACTACTTTTATGCTGGCTTTGGAATTCTGGGGCTCAAAATTTGGCCGAAACCAAGGTAGAGGACTGAAACTCCGCATGTGGGAGTTCTATAATCAACATACAAAAGCTCCACCCAAAATTCCTTTTTGAGGAATTCAACTACTTCTGGAAAAGGAAATATACAGAAGCTTCTGCTGATAACCAGAAACTAGTTAACCATTTTCCATTTTCCTTTTCTCTCCACCTATGAATTTAATCCTGAGAAATGTTTGAGCAAAATGAATCAGGCCAAAATTCAAACAATCAATTTCTCACCTAAACTTTCAATAGGAGCTCACAAATGAAATTCAAGCATTCTCTAAACTCATCTATTATCTTTATCTTTATCCTTATCTTTTATTAGATTTATATACCGCCCTACTCCCGAAGGACTCAGGGCGGTGAACAGCCATAAATAAAACAAATATAATATAAAATTTAAAAACAGTTAAAAAACATATTAAATAGATTTGGCCCACTAATTAAAACACCCCTATTTTTAAGAACAGATTCGAATTAAAATTAAACAATTAAAAAGGGTTAGGCCAGCCCCGCTTGCTGGAATAAAAAGATCTTGAGGGCACGGCGGAAAGTGCGCAAATCCGGGATCCTTCGTATCTCTGGGGGGAGCTCGTTCCAAAGGGCAGGTGCCCCCACAGAGAAGGCTCTCCCCCTGGGAGCCGCCAGTCGACACTGTTTGGCTGACAGCACCCTGAGAAGCCCCTCTCTGTGGGAGCGTACTGGCCGGTGAGAGGCTACCGATGGCAGAAGGTGGTCTCGTAAGTAACCAGGTCCTGAGCCATGGAGCGCTGTAAAGGTGGTAACCAAAACCTTGAAGTGCACCCGGAAGACCACTGGGAGCCAGTACAGCTCGCGCAGGAGGGGTGTTACGTGGGAGCGCCATGTCGCTCCCATAACCACCCGCGTGGCCGCATTCTGGACTAGCTGGAGCCTCCGGGTACTCCTCAAGGGAAGCCCCATGTAGAGAGTATTACAGTAGTGCAGGCGGGAAGTGATGAGGGCGTGAGTGACCATGTATAAGGAGTCCCGATCCAGAAAGGGATTAAACTGGTGAATCAGGCGAACCTGATAAAAAGTCCCCCTGGCCACAGCCATCAGATGTTCTTCTATGGACAGTCGTGTATCCAGGAGGACGCCCAAGTTGCGAGCCCTCTCCGTGGGGGCCAACGACTTGCCCCCAATAGCCAGCGATGGCGTCAACTGGCTATATCGGGATGCCGGAAACCACAGCCACTCGGTCTTGGACGGGTTGAGCCTGAGTCTGTTTCTCCCCATCCAGATCCGCACGGCCTCCAGACATCGGGACATCACTTCAAGGGCATCATTGGGGTGGCCCAGGGTGGAGATGTACATATGGATTACTCATATGGATTACCTTGTGTGCAATAAGGGATGATTTATCCTTGAAGTAATATCCACAGACTGATCATTTCAAAGATTTCTTCATGGTGTGAGTCCTCTGGTGTATCACTAGGTAGGAACTCTGACTGAAACTTTTCATACAGATAGAACATTCAAAGAGTTTTTCTCCTGTGTGAGTCCACTGCTGTCTCATCAGGCTGGAATTATCACTAAAGCTTTTCCCACAGATAGGACATTCAAAGGGTTTCTCTCCTGTATGAGTCCTCTGGTGGATCACTAGGTGGGAATTCTGACTGTAACTTTTCCCACAGTCAGAACATTCAAAGGGTCTCTCTCCTGTGTGAGTCCTCTGGTGTGTCACCAGATTGGAATTATCACTAAAGCTTTTCCCACAGATAGGACATTCAAAGGGTTTCTCTCCTGTGTGAGTCCTCTGATGTTTCACCAGGCTGGAATTATCACAAAAACGTTTCCTACAGATAGGACATTCAAAGGGTTTCTCTCCTGTGTGAGTTCTCTGATGTTTCACCAGGCTAGAACTCTGACTAAAACTTTTCCCACAATCAGGACATTCAAAAGGTTTCTCTCCATTGTGTGTCCTCTGGTGTCTCACCAGGCTGGAATTATCACAAAAACGTTTCCAACAGTCAGGACATTCATAGGGTTTCTCTCCTGTGTGAGTCCTCTGGTGTATCACCAGGTGGGAATTCTGACTGTAACGTTTCCAACAGTCAGGGCATTCAAAGGGTTTCTCTCCTGTGTGAGTCCTCTGGTGTAACACCAGTGTGTAATAGCGACTAAAACCTTTTTCACAGATAGGACATTCAAAGGGTTTCTCTCCTGTGTGAGTTCTCTGGTGTTTCACCAGGCTGGAACTCTGACTAAAACTTTTCCCACAATCAGGACATTCAAAAGGTTTATCTCCATTATGAGTCCTCTGGTGTCTCACCAGACTGGAATTATCACAAAAACGTTTCCAACACTCAGGACATTCAAAGGGTTTCTCTCCTGTGTGAGTCCTCTGGTGTAACATCAGTGTGTAATTGCGACTAAAACCTTTTTCACAGATAGGACATTCAAAAGGTTTCTCTCCTGTGTGAATCCTCTGGTGTTTAACCAGGCTGGAATTGTCACGAAAACCTTTCCTACAGATTTGACATTCAAATGGTTCCTCTCCTGTGTGAGTCCTCTGGTGTCTCACTAGGTGGGAATTATGACTGTAACATTTCCCACAGTCAGGACATTCAAAGGGTTTCTCTCCTGTGTGAGTCCTCTGGTGTTTCACCAGGCTGGAACTCTGACTAAAACTTTTCCCACAATCAGAACATTGAAAGGGTTTCTCTCCTGTGTGAGTCCTCTGGTGTGTCAGAAGGCTGGAATTATCACTAAAGCTTTTCCCACAGATAGGGCATTCAAAGGGTTTCTCTCCTGTGTGCGTCCTCTGGTGTTTTACCAAGTGGGAATTCTGACTGTAACGTTTCCCACAGTCAGGACATTCAAAGGGTTTCTCTCCTGTGTGAGTCCTCTGGTGTGTCAGCAGATTGGAATTATCACAAAAACCTTTCCTACAGATAGGACATTCAAAGGGTTTCTCTCCTGTGTGAGTTCTCTGGTGTAACATCAGCGTGTAATTGCGACCAAAACCTTTGCCACAGATAGGACATTCAAAGGGTTTCTCTCCTGTGTGAGTCCTCTGGTGTATCACCAAGTGAGAATTATGACTGTAATGTTTCCCACAATCAGGACATTCAAAGGGTTTATCTCCTGGATGAGTCCTCTTGTGTTTCAGCAGGCTGGAATTATCACTAAAGTTTTTCCCACAGATAGGACATTCAAAGGATTTCTCTCCTGTGTGAGTGGTCTTGTGTCTCAGGAGGTGGGAATTTCTAATGAAACCTTTCCCACAATCTTGACACTCATAAGGTTTCTCCATGGAGTGAATCCTCTGATGTATTACGAGGCAGGAATTATGACTGAAACTTTTCCCACAGTCAGAACATTGAAATGGGTTTTCTCCTTTATGATTCCTCTGGTCTATCACCAAGTTGGAATTATAACTGAAAATTTTCCAACAATCAGGACATTCAAAGCATTTCTCTCCTATGTGAGTTCTCTGGTGTCTCATGAGATGGAAATTTCTAATGAACCCTTTCCCACAATCAGAACATTGAAAGGGTTTCTCTCCTTTGGGTTTCCTCTGGTGTATCACCAAGGTTCAAATTACAAGTGAAAGTTTTCCCACAATCAGGACATTCAAAGCATTTTTCTCCTAAGTGAGTCCTCTGGTGTATCTTGAGGCTAGATTTCTAACTGAAACTTTTCCCACAGAAAGGTCATTGAAATGTTTTTTTTTCCTGTGGCGTTCTCTGTTGTCCGAGATGGATATTTCTAATAAAGCTTTTCCCACAATCTAGACACTCATACAGTTTTTCCGTGGAGTCAATCTACTGATGCATCAGACTGAAATTGTGACTGAAACTTTTTCAGTCAGGACATTCAAAGGGTTTCACTTTTGTGTGAGTCTGGAATTCTCGAAACGGAAAACAAAACGTTTCCCACAGAAAGGATGTTCAAATGGTTTTTTTTCCTGTGTATAAGTCCTTTAGTGTCTCATGATCTGGGAATCTCTAATGAAACTTTCATACAATCTGCAGTCATACGTTTTGTCCCTCCTGTGAGTATCTGATGTAGCACCATGTTGCCATGCTCACTAAAGCATTTACCGCATTGGGAGCACTTTTGTGGCTTCCCTATTCTGTGTGGGTGCTTCCATGAACCACAATGGAGCTGTTCTGACCATAGTTTTTGTCACATTCAGGTAATTTTTTTGGCTTTTCTCCTTTCTGGCTCCTTGTTGCATAATCAGGTGTTATTTGCAATCTGTGCTTTTCTCACAATAGGTAAATCTATGGAACTTTTCCACAGCTGGTATTCTTGAGGAGGTCAAAAATATGGACAATGTCGTTTTTAGTGATGCTTTCTTTCTTTCTTTTTTTTGCTGGTCAATACTGTTATATACTTTTAATGAAGAAATTTATTTGGTAGACTGGTAATCAGACTGTCAACTTGTAAATACAATTTCAATGTTTTTTAGTGGTGCTTTCATTCAAGCCGTTTTTTCCTCACAGGCAGATGCCTGCACTACTGTCTATTCTACATGACTTTACAGTTTCCTCCCCACTGACTTCCAGATATTTCCTTCTTTTGCTGAATGAATAGTAATCTCCCTTCAATTTTAATGTAATGCATCCTTGAGTTTTGCATAATCTGCTTATTCTTTCTTGATTTTCTTTCTTTTGTCTAACAGCTGCTGGAGGAGAAGCAGAATTGTGAGGTTTTCTGAAGGAAATAGAAAATATTTTGATTTCTGGCTTGATTTTCTTCCCTTTTCAAGGTTGCTTGTTATTTACAGTTGTCCAGAGTGCTCTTATTGCCATCATGTTTGTCTGTAAGAATCAAAGAAAAGTGTAACTTTAATTGTTTATAAAATGGTTAGAGATGTGAAAAAAGAAAAAAAGTATATATTACATGAAAAAACAAACATGTCCCAGTATTAGAATAATCATTTACATTATTGATGATTCATATGAGACACGGAGTACTACTGAAATCCGTGTTCAAATATCCATTCAAATTCAGTTATTTAGTTGGGTAAATCATGAATTTTTAGCAATGCAAAGCGTTATCATCAAATATATCTTGAAGTGCTGGGGATAGGTTATGTAATTGCAGATATATACATAGAGAGAAATACAGATAGACCCAACTACACATGTATATATGGAGAAAATCTATGTCTTTCAAGCCTGACAAAATGTCTCAAAATGGTTTCAGTCAAACCTTCTGAGCTAAATTTAGAGATGTGGGAGCTTTAACTGATGAATTAATGCTGAAAGCCTCTGCAAGCTTTGAAGCACCACTTTTGCTCATGGAAGTCCTTCAGCTGCAAATAAGAGCAGAAAACGCTGTCCACAAGAACTACAAGCAGCTCAATCATTAAGCATGTTGTCACACGACAGTGCCAACTTATATATGTTCCTCTTATAGTTGTTAACTATAAGAGGAACAACTATACCTTTTATAGTTGTTAAGCAAATTACTGTGGATTGTTAAAGGCGATTTTATATGACCGTGACTTGCAATTTCCTGCCAGTATATCCACTGATTTTGCTGGTCAGAAGCTATCTGGGAAGGCCACAAATTGGGATCATAAGTATGGGATGCTGCAGCCATCATAAATGTGCAACTATTGGTAGAATCCGAATTGCTGTGACTTCTTTTCCTAAACCTTCAAAACCACACTCACTGCTGAAGTGTGGTCACTGAACAACTACTAGGATTATTACAAATTTTGTGGACCAGGTACACGTCTGCTTCTATTGTGCCATAGTAACTTTGAAGGCTCAGGGAAGAAGTGGTAAGTGAGGACTACCTGTGCAACCAAAGACGGATTAAGCACAATTAAAACTGGTTAATACACGGATGGGACAGGAAATACCATACTTATTGGCAAGACATGGAAGGAAAAAAACAACATAAAGATGTAATGGGAGACTTTAACTACCCTGATATCAACTGGGAGACAAACTCTACAGCAAGTAGGTGACTGAATGGATTCCTAACCAACTTAGCTGACAACTTTGTCATCCAAAAGGTAGCGGAGGGAACTAGAGGAAAAACTATACTCGACTTAATTCTTACTAATAGAGAAGCGATAGAAAGAGTTGAAGTTGTCGGAACCTGTGGCGAGTGACCACATCTCACTGGATTTCAATATAATGAAAACACAAGTAATAGAATATAATCCAACAAGAGAAACATATGCAGCAGGGCCTAGAAGATGGAGCCTAAGAAAAAGGGACTGATGGTAGAAGAAATGTTTCCCCCCAAAAAAATTGTAAAAAAAAAAAAAAGGACAAAAATAGAATAGCCCATCAAACCACATGGCTAATTGATCACCAGGCTAATCTTCTTAGAAAGGCATCCTGCAATACAGGGGTGAAATCCAGTAGGTTCTGACAGGTTCTGGAGAACCGGTAGCGGAAATTTTGAGTAGTTCAGAGAACCGGCAAATATCACTTCTGGTTGGCCCCCGAGTGTGGTGGGATTGGAGATTTTGCAGTATCCTTCCCCTGTCACACCCACCAAGCCATGCCCACAGAACCAGTAGTAAAAAAAAATTAGATTTCACCACTGAGAAATGCCATTTTCATTCAGGAACTCAAGATGGCATAAAGCACTTCCTGCGCAGCGTGCTGTAATTTACAAGGTAAATGTCCCCCAGACAGCCTACCTACCTACCTACCAGGATATACTTTTTGCCTCTCAATATTCCATAGCTCATGGAAGCTTTATGCGTAAGCTAACATTGATTTATATAAATCAGTAGCTTTCTATCCAGAATCCATGAGCCTTACACTAGATATTTGGGTTTGGTGCCTTCAAGTCAGTCAAGTGGTTTCCCCCTTTCTTGCTTAGGCCTAGGCCTGATAGGACTGGCCAAAGATGCACAGATGGCTTCACACTTTAGGCGGACTGCAACTGAGTATTTCACAGTCTCTAACCTGTAGGTTTTCTTGCCTTTTGGGACTTTGGTTCTATGCATCAGACATCTCCAAGAGAAAAAAAGACGTCACTTTCTTTGCAATGAACTCTTATGGTAGCCAGCAAAGCTGGAACTCTGACTAAAACTTTTCACACAATCTTCCTGTGTGAGTCCTCTGGTGTTTCACCAGGCTGTAATTATCATAAAAATGTTTCCTACATATAGGACTTTCATAGGGTTTCTCTCCTGTGCGAGTCCTCTGGTGTTTCACTAGGTGGGAATTCTGACTGTAACTTTTCCCACAGTCAGGACATTCAAAGGGTTTCTCTCCTGTGTGAGTCCTTTGGTGTGTCAGCAGATTGGAATTATCACTAAAGCTTTTCTGGTGTAGGACATTCAAAGGGTTTCTCTCCTGTGGGAGTTCTCTGGTGTTTCATCAGGCTGCAATTATCATAAGAATGTTTCCTACAATTAAGAATTTCATAGGGTTTCTCACTTGGGAGTCCTCTGGTGGCATCTATCCACAGGCAAAAAGAAGAAACAGGCAAATCTACCAAAAACAGAACTGTAAAAGGCAGACTAGAAATACAAATTAAAACAGGCAGGAAAATGATGGGAAAACACCTGTCCATTCTAGATGAGTTTTAACCACCAGTATCAGATTGATTACATCCCAGTGTTCTGAAGAAGCTGGCAGACATGATCTAAGAACCATTGAACCATATCTTTCAAAGATCTTCATGCATCAAGGAACTACCAGTGGACTGGAAAAGAGCTGATGTACCGTATTTTTCAGAGTATAAAATGCTCAGGAATATAAGATGCACCTACCTTTTTTGGTGAGGAAAACAAGAAAAAGAAATCTGCCTCTGACTCCCAGCAATTTTGCCTCCTTGCAGCAAACAGCAAACAAGCTGCTTTACTTTCATTTTCGTTTTCAGCATAGCTTGATTAGCACAAGAAAAAAAAATCTGCTCCCAGCAATTTACCTCCTTGCAGCAAGCAGCAGAGGCCCGCACAAAACATCTGAGAGTCTGGAGGCCAATCCAACAATCAACTTGTGCTAATTAGGCTGTGCTGAAGCTGAAATGGGCTGTTTCTTCTTGCTGCTTGCTGCAAGGAGGCAAATTGCTGGGAGGCAGAGGCCAAAGGGTGGGGGTCAGTGGATGGGAGGGGCTACATTCGGTCTATAAGACACACCTAAATTTTCACCCCATTTTAGAGGAGGGGGGAAGGTATGTCTTATACTCCAAAAAATACGGCAGTTCCCATCTTCAAAAAAGGGGAGAAAAATAGATCCACAAAACTACAGACCAATTGGTCTGACATCACTACCTGGGAAGATCCTGGAAAAGATAATGAAACCAGATCTGCAAACACCTAGAAGCAAGCAAATATATAATAAATATATAACCAAAGTTAACATGGGTTTGTCAATAACAGATCATTCCAAACAAATGTTATTTCATTCTTACACAAAGTGACTAAATTAGTGGACCAATCAAATACATAGTATAATTGGATTTCAGTAAGGCAATTGACAAAGTAGACTATAACCTATTTCTTGGTAAATTGGAAAAATGTGGGATAGGTACATCCATCCACACAGATGGATTCATAACTGTCTGACAAATCACCCTCAAAGTGTATTCCTTAATGGGATTACATCTATATGGAGGGAAGGAAGCAGTGGGTTTCCCAAGGTCCTGTTTTAGTACTCTTTAATATCCTTGTAAATGCCTTAGATGAGGGAATCGAACAGGAATGCATCAAATTTGCAAATGACAACAAGTTAGCAGGAATAGCCAATACCTTAGAAGATAGGCTCAAGATAGAGAATCTCGATAGATTTGAACACTGGGCCCTACCGAACAAAATGAAATTCAATGGAGGAAAAAAAAAGGTTTTATACTTATGCAAGAAAACCAAATATACTGGTACAGAATAGGTACAACCTGGCTCAAGTGTCCTAGTGGACAATAATTTAGTTATGAGCCAGCAGTATATACCTGGGGTGGGGGAGGGAGCCAATACAATACAAAAAAAAGCTAATACTAGGCTGCATTAACAGGGAGATAGAATCAATCTTTATAAAGAGTATGAACACACTTAGAAAATTGCATACATTTGGTCACCATATCATAAGAAACATGTCGGGACTCTGGAAAGAATGCAGAAAAGAGCAACAAAGAGGATTACCAGGGTGGAGGCTAAAATATAAAGAAGGGTTGCAGGAATTGGGAATGTCTAGTCTAGTGAAAGGAAGGACTAGGGGAGATATGATAGTCTTCCAATACTTGAGGAGTTGCCACAAAGCGGGAGGGGCCAACCTATTCTCCAAAGCCCCTGAAGGCAGGACTAGAAACTGGATGGAAACTAAGCAAGGAGAGAAGCAACTTCGAACTAAGGAGAAACTTCTGACGCTGAGAACAGTTAACCAGGGGAAGGATTTGCCTTCAGAAGTTGTGGGAGACCCATCACTGGTGGCTTTTAAACAGAGACAGGACAGCCATTTGTCTGAAATTATACTGGGTCTCCTGCTTGATCAGGAGATTGGAATAGAAGACCTGCAAGGTCCCTTCCAGCCCTGTTACAAACCCTCCAGTGATGGGATCAGCCACAACCTCTGGAGGGAAACCAGCCCCAAAGACTCAACCTGCATTGGAAGGAGGCTTTTTCAAGCTTCCCACCGGCAGAAATTGCAGCCCCCAGTTTCCCAGCCTGCAGCACCAGTGGGCTTCCATTTGGGGAGGGAAGGAACCTGCAGCAGCCGCAGCTGAGAGGCTTCAGCCCAGTTGCTTCTCCGCTTCCAGCCCAAGTTGCTCCCGGACTCTCCTCCCACCTGCTGCCCTCCACTCACCTGCCAGCTGCTGCTTCGACCACGGAAACAGCAGAAAAGCCGCTCTGCACACCAACTTCCTCCCATCAGCCATCCGGAAGAGGAAGTTCCTCTGCGCTTCTCCTCTCTTCCCATCCTTTCTAGCAATGCAGTACTCAATGGTTTAAAACTCCTTTTTTAAGCGCAATCACGGATGGCCCCACTGTATTGATGGCTTTCTAAGCACAGACGTTGCCTGACCGCCATCTAGCGACAGGAGGTGGTAAAACACGCCTGTCCAGTCTCCTCCAAGGCTTTTGGAAGATGTTTTCCATTCCTAGCAACCGACCTTTGCAACTGAGCCAAGTATTTGGTGTCTCTGGGTCAGTCTTGATGCCTGGCCTTTCAGTTTCCTTGGCAAAGGTTTTGGAAGTGGTTCCCTCCTTTTCCCTTTTCCTGCTTCCTAGGCCTCCGTACTTATTTATTAATTCATTATTTATTAATTCAATTTATATGTCTCCCCTCTCTGAAGACTCAGGGTGGCTCACAATACACTTAAAATTATTATAAAAAACATTTAAAAATTAAAAACATTAAAACTCATTCACACCATTCATGGCCGGATCTCGCCAGATCGTAAGAGGGAGATCAACGGCCCCAGGCCTGCCGGAAAAGCCAGGTCTTCACCGCTTTTTGGAAGGCCAATAGGGTGGGAATGGTCCGGACCTCAGGAGGTAACTGGTTCCAGAGAGCTGGGGCATCCACAGAGAAGGCCCTCCCCCGCGGGACCACCAGCCGGCATTGTTTAGCTGACGGGACCCGGAGGAGACCAACTCTGTGGGATCTTACCGGTCGCTGGGAGCTATGCGATAGAAGGCGGTCTCGAAGATAACCTGGCCCTGAGCCATGTAGGGCTTTAAAGGTAATAACCAACATCTTGAATTGTGACCGGAGACCAATAGGGAGCCAGTGCAGCTTGCGGAGAATTGGTGTAATGTGGGTGTACCTAGATCCACCCACGACAGCTCGCACGGCTCCGTTCTGGACCAACTGTAGTCTCCGAACACCTTTCAAGGGTAGCCCCATGTAGAGCGTGTTGCAATAATCTAACCGTGAGGTGACAAAGGCATGAGTGACCGTGAGGAGAGCCTCCTGATCCAAGTAGGGTTGCAATTGGTGCACCAGGCGAACCTGTGGAAAGGTCCCCCTAGCCACAGCTGTCAGATGTTGCTCTAATCTTAGCTGTGAGTCTAGGAGGACACCAAAATTGTGAACCCATTCTGAGGGGGACAATTTCTCCCCCCACCCAGAACCATGTGGGGAACCACTTCCCTCCATGTGGGGATAGCTCCATTGAGGATTACACATTGAGTACAATTTGTCAAGCAGTTAGAAACTCACTTTGTGGTTGTGCTGCCTATCCCACGTTCTTCTAGCTTGGCAAGAAGTAGGTTGTGATCTACTTTATCAAATGCTTTACTGAAATCTAAGTATACTATATCTATAGCATTTTTCTGGTTCATTAATTTAGCCACTTTGTCAAAAAATGAAATAAAGTTTGGCATGATCTGTTTTTGATCAACCCATGTTGGCTACTGGTTATAACTTGTTTGCTTCTAGGTGTTCACAGATTTGTTGCCTGGATGTTTTCCAAGATGTTACCAGATGTTATTAATGTCAGGCTGATCTGTCTGTAATTTCCTGGATGTGTTTATTTTACCTGTTTTGAAGATGGGAACCACATCGGCTCTTTTCCAGTCCTCAGTTACAGGTAATCCTGAATTTACAACCACAACTGAGTCCAAAATTTATGTTGTAAAGTGAGGAATTTGTTAAGTGAGTTTTGCCCCATTGTACTAGTTTTCTTCCCTCATTTGTTAAGTGAATCCTTCCTATTGTTAAATTAGTAATATGGTTATAGCACAGTCATTAAGTGAATCTGATTTCCCAATTGACTTTGCTTATCAGTAGGTCACAAAAGAGGATCACATGACTCTGGAACACTGCAACAGTCATAAATGTGAATCAATTGCCGAGCATCCGAATGTAAATGACATGACCATGGGGATGCTACCGTGTTTTCCCGAAAATAAGACCCTGTCTTATATTTGTTTGAACCCTGAAATAAGGGCTTGGCCTTGTTTTTTGGGGGGGTCTTATTATTTTCAGGGTGCAGGAGGCCCTGGGCGGTCTGAGCACAGCTCAGGGGGTTAGGGTTAGGGTTAGCGTGCCACCATCAAACCCCTCTCCCCTTCTGCAGGTGTGTGGGGAATATGAGCAGCCTGAAGGCGCCAAGCCGCGCGAGCACCTGTCTCGCCTTGCTCGCGCGAATCCCAGGCCTCACCACATCGATGTGGTTGACTCTCCATGCGGGGCTGCGGCTCCCTTTGTCCATCATCGCCTCTCTGCCCTGGCTGCCTGCAAAGCAGGGGTTTCCAGCCGGAGTTTGGAAGCTGCAGAGGCGGAGTTTGGAGGAGAGAAAGAAAGACTTCTGCTGCTTTCTTTGTGCGGAGCCAGCAGAAGCAACAGAAGTCTTTCTTTCTCTCCCACAAATTCCGCTTCTGCAGCTTCCAAACCCCAGCCAGGGCAGCGGCTGCTCTGGGAGTGTGCTTCCCGCTCTATGGTGATAGTCACTGGAGGCCTCCCCTTTCCCCCTGCTCCAATTGCCCTGTGGTCCCTCCACCCAAGCGGTGACTGATTGGAGTGGCCGTGAGCAAGCCCAGGAAGCCCCTCTGCCTTGGGAGTCACCGGACAGGAAGGCGACCAGGCCAGACTCTTCCTGGGGAGGGGAGCCTCGCGGGACCCTTGCCCACCCTCCCTTCTTCCTGCAGGCCCTGCTTACTCTTCTCTGGTGCCTGGTAGCGAGATGCTGGGCAGCTGCGCCAAGGGCAGCCCCAACAAGTGCAGCTTGGCTGGCCCAGCCATGGCCAGCACTCCCTGCCCGCGGTTGAGGTTGGCCCTCAGTGGGCCGGCCAGAGCCTTCACAGGCAGCAGCAGCAGCAACACCTGCAGCGCCTCAGTCATCGCTGCTGAGAGACCTGCACCCAGCTATGGGAATCTCCAGGCCTGCTGGGTGTTGTAGTTCTCTGCAACATCTGGCCCTGTGCCCCGTAGTGCAGCTGCTGCCCCGGTCCCACCAGAAGTGTGCATGCTGACTTCTGCCTGCCGCATATGGAGGATTCTCTGCTGCCGCCGCCCACACTACCAAAGAAGCCCTGGGGCGGGCGCTTGGTGTATGGTCAGTTCCAGGGTGACAGGGGGGCACAGGAGTTCGCAGGGATGTGGCTGCCTTGGGAGGGTTGGGGTGAGGGACCTGTGTGTGTGGGAAAGAGGGTTGGGTGGGGTGGAGTGAACATTGCTGCCGGCCCTGGATAACTCTCCGAGGTTGGATTGTAGATATCTCTCTCTCTCTCTCTCTCTCACACACACACACACACACTCACACCATTCTTTCTTTGCGATCACAGCACAGACACCCCTTCCAGGATTGCAAAGCTGAAGGCTCTGGATGGAGCATTTTGGAGATGTGTGTCTGTGCTGCGACCCCAAGTAAAGAATGATTGGCAGGAAAAGGGGGAGGAGGCCAGCAGCTGGGGAAGTGCTCTGGAGATCTGGGTCACTCAGCTGATCAGCGGGCAGCAATTAAGGGGTTGAACCTCCATGAGGTGACCGGGGAAGGGAAGGGCTGCCTCCTGTGCTGGCCACCCACAAACCTTCACTGGGGCTTATTTTGGGGGGGAGGGCGTATATTTAGGCCCACCCCAAAAATCAGGCTTGGTCTTATTTTCAGGACATATCGTATTTTCGGGAAAACACGGTACAATGGACATAAGTGTGATAAATGGCCGTAAGTCACTTTTTTCAGTGTTGTTACAAATTTGGTCACTAAATGAACTGTTGAAAGTTGAAGACTACCTCTAGTTCCCCCCATGCTCCAAGGACTTTGAAAAATATGTTTCAATACTTCTGAAATCACATGTGTAGAATGTCAGAACTCTGGAATGTAGTCCGTCCAGATCCAGTGATTTGAATTGATCTAGAGCTGACAGGTGTTCTCTTACCTTATTTTTGCATACAGGTAGTCCTCGAGTTATGAATGTAATGGAGCAGGGGTGGGTTCTATCTATCTTTACTACTGGTTCGCAACGGGCCACGCACGCTCTTCTGCGCATGTGCAGAAGCATTCTGATGATGGGGTTGGGGGGCGAACCCTCCCACCAGTTTTACTACCAGTTCTATAGAACCAGTGTGAACTGGGGATACCCCACAACTATAATGGAGCCTGGCAATTCCATTCTTTGTAACTCAAGGATTCGTGGGAGTGAATCTCGTCATTTGAAGGTGATCACTCCCTCCGTTTGCCCAACCATTTGCTAATCGAATGTAAGGCTTGTTAAGTGCACATGATGTATCTTGTGGTGGGGAAGGCCAAAGGGGACCTAGGGAGGAAAGAGGATACCCACTTCAAACCACCCAAGGCCTCCCCCAACCCACAGATCCTTTCTTGTCACCTAAAGGCTTGATAAGGCCTCCGGCACCAAGAAAGCAGCCCTGAGCTTCTTTCTTGTTGCCAAAGCGCTTGAGGATTGCGACCCTTTAGGCTTCAGCAGCCCATTCCAAAAAGTCTTTGCCTGTAGGCGTAGGGTTTCATAGGGACACGCCCACTCCTCCCAAGCTCTGCTGGTGCCAAGAAAACGTTTTGCATATTGCTGCCAAAGCCTACATGAACACAATCTCCCTGCAGACTTCGGCAACGAAACAGCAAATTGAGGGAAGGCCTGAAGGCCCGAAACCTTCCATCCATTTGCAAATGTCTCAATTTGCAGAGAATAGAGGCCTAAAGGGCGAGATCACATGAGATCAGTAGCACAATATCTCATGCTACTTATTTCACATGGTCTCGCAGTATTTGTGTAACTTCAAATGTTGGCTAAGGGAACACTCGTAACCCAGGTATTATCTGTATTTTAATTTGCATTCCTAACCTGTCATTTACTGTTATGTTTTTGGTAAGTTGAGTCATGTTTTCTTTTTCGGAAAAAACACGTACAAGTTTCTTCTTTGGACCTTCTTCCCACTTCTTATACTCCTGTGAATTAGGGGTCTTTATACTTCTTATACTCGTGTGAATTAGGGGGGTTCTTTGGACCGGAACAGTCTTGTAGGGGCAGTGAAGAAGGAAAGGGGCCTCAGATGACCAAGAGGAACAGGCAAGTTCCTCGAAAGGTTGGATGGGGTCACCCCCCATCGAACAAGCGGTGGGGGTGGCGGCCATTATGACCGCTTTGAAGCGGGGGCAACCGGAATAAGAATTGTGCAGGAGCGGTGTTTGGATAGAGTATTGGTACCGGGTGAGTGATTGGCCAACTCGCAGGTAAAAAGGAAATTAAAAAAAAAGTTTAAAAGGTGTCCCGGCGAGGAAATAGCGGCTATTTGGCACTTGGGAATTTTAATGAAGGGAGAAGAACAAGTTAAAACACTTTTATTTGAAAACTTTTTATTTGGATTTGAAATTGGATTTGGAGAAACTAAAATTGATATAAGAAAAAGAAACCCGAGGGAAAATACTTGTTAGAGGATTTGAAATAATTTTGACAGTTTTGAGAGTTTTGAATTCTGAAGGAAGAACAAAGAGGAAGTTAAAATAGCAACAAATTTACAACTGGATTTAAATCTGAATTTGAGAAAGCAAGAAAAGAAGAAGAAAATTGAAAGAAAATATTTGATATGTGGATTTAAAATACTTTTGCAAATTGGATACTTTGTGTCTCTGAAAATTGTGGATTGGAGAGAGACATCTACCGGTGGAAAGAAAGCACTACAATGAATAGCTTGAAAATTGGAAAAAATAACTATAGTGACCTTGCGCACTGCAAGAGTTGTGAGAAAAATTAAGGAGTATTTGTTTTTACTCAAATTGCTTGGCCTCGACTGCTAAAGGAGGTGGAAAACAAAAACCAGCTGGACATAAGTATATGGACTTAAATTTTAATTAAATACAAGCTAAAATATCAATATGTGTCAGGAATTAATTGAGATGGTTAAAAATATGTGTGAATCTTTAAAGGTTAATAAAAAGTCAGAAATTTTGTTAGAACATACTCAACAGGACAGAGATCATAAATGAGAAGCAAGAAAATAATATTGTAGGCAAAGAAAGTGGAAGTAAAAAGCTAAATGATTACACTGGGATTAACGGTGGCAAAAAAGGAAGGGATAGGAGGAAATATTTGCTAAAAAAGAAGCAAGCAAAGGGAAGAGAAGGAAATGGGAACAGATTAGACAAAAATGTGGGGCGAACTATGCGAGTAATAGACCTAAAAGTAAGAGAAAGAATTCAGAAGAAAAGATATAATAATTATAAAAAGAAGGAAAAGAAGAAGACGAAGACAAGAGAATGGGAGAAAGGGAGAAAAACATTAAGAAGTGGAATACTGGAGGGATCAAAAGAAAATGTTTAAAAGGGGAAGAATAGCAGAAAGAAGGAAGGGAAATAAGGTATATAATAATAGAGTTAAGGGGGCTGTATTAATATTAGTAATTGTGAAGATAACAAATAAAGATGACGATATATATTGTGTATTGTAAAATGAACAGTGGATGAAATATGAAGTGATAATTTGGTCCATTTATGAAAATAATTGAAATTAAGAGATAAACTTGAAATGTAAAAAAGTGTGAAGTAAGGTTAAGAAATTAGGATGTGAAAGGCGGATGGTAATATTGTTTATATACTATGTATTAAGAAGAGATTAAGATAAAATAAAGTAGAGGAAAAGAAAACCATGGCAGAAATTGAAATATGCAAATTGTATTTGGAGAAACTAAAAAAGTAGATTGGAACAGATTATAAAATATATATAATTGTAAGTTGTAAAAGATGTGACCTGGTCAATACTCTGTGCATAAAATATGTATGTAACAGGAAATTTTTAATAAAACTTGTTCACAAAAAGAAAAGAAAAGAAAAGAAAAATGTCAAGGAAACAAGGCAGTGATTTAGGTTCAACACTCTTCATACGTTACATAAATGACATTTGTGATCATATTAAAAGCAACTGCGTTATCTTCACTGATGATGTTAAACTATTCAACACCACCGACAATCAAAAAAACCTTGACTATGTGTCAGATTGGTCTAACAAGTGGCAACTTCAAATCTCAACCAATAAATGCTCTGCCTTGCACATTGGCAAAAAACAAACAAACCATAAAATACAAATTAAATGGACATGGAAAAGAAAAATGTCAAGGAAACAATTGGTCCATTGTTGGGAGAAAGTGGCAAGAAGGTGACAAGCAACAGAGAGAAAGCAGTACTACTTAACTCCTTTTTTGCATCTGTCTTTACACAAAAGGAAAAAACAGTCCAACCTATCAAAAACAGATTAGGAACACAAGTTAAAGTAGGGGAAAAAATGGTAAGTGAACACCTGTCTACCCTAAACGAGTTCAAATACCAGGACCGGATGGATTATACCCCAAGGTTCTGAAGGAACAGGCAGACGAGATCTCAGAACCACTGAACTATATCTTTCAGAGATCCTGGAGCACAGGATTTTCCAGCCAGAGGACTGGAAAAGAGATGATGTAGTTCCCATCTTCAAAAAAGGAAAAAAAATAGATCCAGAAAACTATCAGCCTGACCTCAATACCAGGGAAGATTCTGGAAAAGATAATCAAGCAATGAATCAGTGAACACCTAGAAGCAAACAAAGTATTAACCAAAAGCCAACATGGGTTTGTCAAAAACAGATCATGCCAGACTAATCTTATTGCATTCTTTGACAAAGTGACAAAATTAGTGGACCAGAGGAATACTGTCGATATAATTTACTTGGATTTCAGTAAGGCATTTGATAAAGTAGACCATAACCTACTACTAGATAAAGTAGAAAAATGTGGGTTAGACAGCATCAGCACCAGATGGATTCGTAACTGGCTGACCAACCGCATTCAACGTGTAGTCCTCAATGGAACTGCATCTACATAGAGGGAAGTATGCAGTGGAGTACCCCAAGGCTCTGTTTTAGGCCCAGTACTCTTCAACATCTTCATCAGTGACGAGGGGATAGATGGGGAACTCATCAAATTTGCAGATGACACCAAGCTTGTAGGAATAGCCAACCTCCAGAAGGAGTCTAGTGGTCCACTTCAATAAACTCAGTTTTGCAGCAATTCTTCTCAGCCCCAAGGAGCCTACAATCAATAAGTCTCAGTCTCTCTCTTTCTCTTTTTTCCTCCTTCCCTCCCTCTCTCTCCGTCTCTCTCTCTCTCTCCCTCCCTCCACTATTTGATTCCCTCTGGAGAAATTAAGATTTCAAGTACAACTAAAGTCTGGGACACTGCAACCATCATAATTATGGGTGTTTTGTCAAGCATCTGAATTTTGAACATATGACCATGGGGATGCTGCAATGGTCGTGTGAAAAACAGTCAAGCGAATCACCGTGTTCTCTTCAGTGCAATGTACCATGAGTGGGACTTGCAACTTCCTGTCAATTTTGTTTATGGGAACCCAATTCCATGACTGTGGGACACCGCAACGATCGTAATTGCCAGCCAGTCCCACCCCCAAATAACTGTGATGGGCACAACTTTGAGGAACTACTTTTTCAGCACCAGTGTAATTTTGAAGGCTGAGTAGTAAGCGGTAAGCAAGGACTGTCTATAAAACTGAATATCCCAAATGGTGCAAAGAGCTATTATTTAAAAAAAAATCCTAGGTTAAGCCCAGTTCTTCCAGGATAATAAATGGATGGTGCACCACTAGGAAACCCTGTGTTTGTTTTCTAGGTAAAAAAAAAAAAATCACAGAAGACAGTAATGGCATAAGAGTTCCATATTGTTTCCAACAAAAGGTGTCCATAAAATCACAAGAAGTCACCCCTACTATGAAGGAGAGCCAGTTTTAAAGCAAGTACCACAAATGGAATAAAATCTGGGGAGAAAAGGAATATGTAGCAACTGACATGTTTCAATTGAATTGCTTCTTTTGGCTTTTGAACATGAAGGTCACCTGCAGGGCAGAACAGCCTTTATATCTGAAATTTTACACTGCTTTTCTCACTGCCCTAAATTCCCCCAATATATTTGCTATTCATATGGTTTCTTCCACTTGCGTGCCTCATTCTTGACACAATCTGAAACAGACATGCTTGGTGCACTGAATTCCTGGAACTGTTAGGAAAAGATAAACTTTGAACCCCCTCTGTGTCTCTTCTCATCTTGCTTTCTCCTTATATGAGGAGCCACAATCTATAGTCTCAGGGCTCCAATCCCCAAGAGATGCTGGCTGGAGAATTCTGAGGCTGAAAATCTTGGGGGACCCCAGGGAGAAAAAGGCTGGGATTCCTGGAACATAGCATTTCTATCATCCACTATCACAAAAATGCAAAGAACATTCCCAAAAAGATTTTTACATAATAGCCAAATTTCTACAAAAATAAATATCCAGCAACTTCTTATGCTGAAAGCAAGATAGCCATTATCAAAGTAATATGTTCCATTTTTTCTTTCCTCTGCTGCATCCAATACCATTGCATATTTGCCTACAAAAAATCAGGCAAATTCTATTTAATTTAATCAATTTAAATAGTCAATATCTCAGATGGATTTACAATGGAACACTAGAAATGACATTCAAATGGTTTCTCTCCTGTGTGAATCCTCTGGTGGCCGATGAGGTTGGAATGGTGACGGAAACTTTTCCCACAGTCAGGACATTCAAAGGGTTTTTCTCCTGTGTGAATCCTCTGGTGTTTCACAAGGTCGGAATTCCGACTGAACGTTTTCCCACAAACAGGACATTCAAAGGGTTTTTCTCCTGTGTGAATCCTCTGGTGTTGAACCAGTCTGGAATTGTGACTGAAACTTTTACCACAATCAGGACACTCATAGGGTTTATCTCCTGTGTGAGTCCTCTGGTGGCCAATGAGGTGGGAATTCTGACGGAAACTTTTCCCACAGTCAGGACACTCATAGGGTTTATCTCCTGTGTGAGTCCTCTGGTGGCCAATCAGGTGGGAATTTTGACGAAAACTTTTCCCACAGTCAGGACATTCAAAGGGTTTTTCTCCTGTGTGAATACTCTGGTGTTTCACCAGGCTGGAATTCTGACTGAAACTTTTCCCACAATCAGGACACTCAAAGGGTTTATCTCCTGTATGAGTCCTCTGGTGTTGAACCAGGGTGGAATTCGTACTGAAACTTTTCCCACAATCAGAACATTCAAAGGGTTTTTCTCCTGTGTGAATCCTCTGATGTTTCATGAGGTCGGAATTCTGACTGAAAGTTTTGCCACAAACAAGACACTCAAAGGGTTTTTCTCCTGTGTGAATACTCCGGTGTTTCACCAGGCTGGAATTGTGACTGAAACTTTTACCACAATCAGGACACTTAAAGGGTTTCTCTCCTGTGTGAGTCCTCTGGTGGCCGATGAGGTTGGAATGCTGACGGAAACTTTTCCCACAGTCAGGACATTCAAAGGGTTTTTCTCCTCTGTGAATCTTCTGGTGCTGAACCAGGTTGGAATTCTGTCTGAAACTTTTCCCACAGTCAGGACATTCAAAGGGTTTCTCTCCTGTGTGAATCCTCTGGTGGTTCACGAGGTCGGAATTCTGACTGAAAGTTTTCCCACAAACAGGACATTCAAAGGGTTTTTCTCCTGTGTGAATCCTCTGGTGCTGAACCAGGTTGGAATTCTGTCTGAAACTTTTCCCACAGTCAGGACATTCAAAGGGTTTCTCTCCTGTGTGAATCCTCTGGTGCTTCACGAGGTCGGAATTCTGACTGAAAGTTTTCCCACAAACAGGACATTCAAAGGGTTTTTCTCCTGTGTGAATCCTCTGGTGTTGAACCAGGCTGGAATTCTTACTGAAACTTTTACCACAATCAGGACACTCATAGGGTTTATCTCCCGTGTGAGTCCTCTGGTGGCCAATGAGGTGGGAATTCTGACGGAAACTTTTCCCACAGTCAGGACATTCAAACAGTTTCTCCTTGGTGTGAGTCCATGTCGCCATGCTTGCTAAAGCATTTACTGCATTGGGAGCATTTGTAGGGCTTCTCTCCTGTGCGGGTCCTTCCAAGAACCACAATGGAGGTGTTCTGATCAGAGGTTTTGCCACATTTAGAGTATTGTATGGCGTTTCTCCAGTCAGGATCCTCTCTGGCGTAATCAGCTATGATTTGCAAGTTGGATCCTTCCCACAACAGGCACATCTATGGAGCTTTTCCACAACTCATATTCCTTTGGAGGGCAAAAATATGGATGATTCCTTGTTTAGCAGTGTTTTTATTCAAGCCATTTTCTTCCTCCCAGAGTGGGCTTGCTCTACGTGGTTTTCCAATTGACCTTTTCCTCCCCAGTAACTTCCAGATATTTCCCTCTTTTGCCCAATGGAAAAATAATCTGCCTTGACTTTTCATGTAATGTATGCTTGAATTTCACACTCTGCTTTTCCCAGCTAGAAATCTCTTCCTGATTTTCTCTCGTTTTCCTCTCACTTGCTGAGGAAGATTAAGAATTGTGTGACTCTGAAGGAAATGGAAAATATTTTGATTTCTGGACTGACTTGCTTTGGTGTTCAATGTTGCTTGTTATCCTCAGTTGTCCAGAGTGCTCATTTCCATCTTCTTTGTCTATAAGATTCAAATAAAAATGTATCTTTAATTGTGCACGAAATGGCTGCAGAAAATGAGAAAAAAAGAAAAAGGGTTACATTACAATGAAAAAGCAAACATGCCACAATATTCAAAGAAGCTCTTACATTAATCATGACACATGGAAGACTACCCAGATCCAAGTTTGAATATCCATTCAATGATGAAATTCCCTTGTTGACTGGGCCAGTCACAAATTCTTAGCAGTGCAAATGGTTGTTTTCACATACAGTCAAGTAAAAAAGAAAGTACATCCTCTTTAATTTCTATGATTTTACTTAATTGGTTAATTGTTCTCACGATTAGGAAATTTCTCACTGCTTCCATTGTATAAAGAGGTGAAGTAGCAGCTGAGTACTGCTAATAAAGTGCCTGTCACATTCCGGCCGTCAGCAAGGAATTTAGACAGAGCCAAACATGATTAACTGACAAACTTTATCCCACAAGCTACAACAAGCAGCACAAAGTGACGAACAGGGAATAGGCAAAGTCAGTGCTAACGTGGTTAATCCCTCCACCGTTTATATAGTGTCAGCTCCACCCCCACAGCTACATCCAGGACCCGCCCCTATAACTCCGCACCCCTTATGTGGCATTCTGTGATGACACAGCCCAGCGCGCAGGCCATACATGCTGCGGGCATCACATGCAGGCCTCGCCTCTCATCCAGCCTTGGTAGGCTTCGCGCGGCCCTGGATGAAGCAGGGTAGTGCATCAACACCGGTAGGTACTTTTCAAGCAATGGAGGCCTTGTGCCGCTGAGCTAGTGGCTCCCGGCGCGTCGTGTGGGTATAGCCATGCCTCCCAGCTGGCAGCTCCCGGCACGGTTTTGTAAGCCAGGCCCCCATGAATGTCCGGCCAATCTGGCGGATCTCGATATGGGGTGTGGCCAAGGTCTCTGTGCGACTGGCAGCCCCGGTGACCGGAGAGCTGACATTGCCCTTGATCAATTGCTCCTAAGTTGCATTAACAGAGGGATACAATCAAGATCAAGTGAGGTACTAATACCATTCTATAAAGCCTTAGTAAAACCGCACCTACAGTACTGCATCCAGTTTTGGTCACCACACTATAAAACAGATGTTGAGACTCTAGAAAAAGTGCAGAGGAGAGCAACCAGGATGCTTAGGGGACTGGAGACTAAAACATGTGAAGAACGGTTACAGGAACTGGGCATGGCTAGTCTAGTGAAGAGAAGGACCAGGAGAGATATAATAGCAGTCTTCCAATATTTGCGGGGCTGCTACAGAGAGGAGGGGGTCAAGCTATTTTCCAAAGCACCAAGGAGAGATTCAACCTAGAAATAAGGAGGGACTTTCTAACAGTGAAAACAATCAACCAATGGAACAGCTTGCCTTCAGACATTGTGGCAGCTTCATCACTTGAGACTTTCAAGAAAAGTTTGGACATCTATTTGTCAGAAATGGTGTGGGGTCTCCTGCTTGAGTGGCGGGGGGGTTTGGATTAGATGACCTATAAAGTCCCTTCCAACTCTCTTAATCTTTTAAAAAGATTATTCATAAGTGGGAAACATTCAAGACAGTTGCCAATCTTCCCAGGACTCGACATCCAAGAAAATTCACCCCAAGGCCAGACCATGCAATGGCCATGGAAATTACTAAAAAAAAAAAAGAACTATATCTCAGACTCTACAGGCTTCATTTAGCATTTTAAATGTTAAGATTCATGACAGTGCAATTAGGAAAAGACTGGATAAATATGGTTTGTTTGGATGGGTTGTGAGGAGAAACCCTCTTCTCTCTAAAAAGGTCATAGCAGCACGGCTGAGGTTTGCAAAGTTGCATCTGAACAAATCACATGACTTCTGGAACACTGTCCTTTGCACAGACCAGACCAAAGTGGAGTTGGTTGGCCGTAATATAATGACACGTTTGACGAAAATCAAACACAGCATATCAGCACAAGTATCTCATACTATCATGCACGGTGGTGGAGGTGTGATGATTTGGGCTTGTTTTGCAGCCACAGGACCTGGACACTTTGCACTCTTTGAGGTGACCATGAACTCATCTATATACCAAAGTATTCTAGAGTCAAAAGTGAGGCCATCTGTCCAATAGCTAAAGCTTGGCTGACATAGGAGAATGGTCGCAAAACACATCAGCAAATCTACAACACAATTCAAGCTGTTGGTTATTAGCTTTAAAGCCCTACATGGCTGAGGGCCAGGCTATCTTCGAGACAGCCTTCTACCGCATAGCTCCCAGCGACCGGTAAGATCCCACAGAATTGGTCTCTGGATCCCGTCAGCTAAACAATGCCGGCTGGCAGGCCTGTTGGGGAGGGCCTTCTCTGTGGCTGCCCCAGCTCTCTGGAACCAGTTACCTCCTAAGGTCCGGACCATCCCCACCCTATTAGCCTTCTGAAAAGCGGTGAAGACTTGGCTTTTCTGGCAGGTCTGGGGCCGTTGATCTCGCTGTTGCGATCTGGCGAGATCCGGCCATGAATGGTATGTTAGAAAATTTTTTAGTTTAAGTTGTAGAGGTCAATAAGATCTTGGAATGTCCCAGAAGCTACAATTAAGCCAGATTTCTTTTATCAAGAAAAACTTTGTTTGTTTATTTAAAACCAATAAACTATTTACATTTTAAATCACAGAACATTGTCTCTTGGTCTTTATTTATTTCTTAGGTAAATGTGCCTAGAGCATATTCCCTTCTTCTCTCTCTCCTCTTTTTTCTCCCGAGTGTGTGACTAAAGGGCGTCATATTTATAGAGTGGCTAAGCCACTCCCCCTTCAGTCCCTTAGAGAAAATGGAGGGAAAGTATAAACACAAAACCATCCTTCCAGTATAGACAGTGTAGTTCAGTGGCATTATTTTAGATTATTATCTGACAATTCCCCTTCTGAAAGTGAACTATACTATCAGCCAAAGTCAAAAATACATATGCATACAATTAGAATGACAAACATAACTTCTTACACAAATCTAGATGCTGATTCTTAGCCAAGGGCTTTGTAAGTATGTCAGCAGTTTGTTCCTCTGTTTTTATATAAATGACAGATACAAAATTTATTTGACCATTTGGCGTACGTTTTGGTATCTAATATCAACGTGTCTCGATCTATGGCCAACAGCTGTAGACTTTGAAATATGGATTGCAGCAACATTATCCTCCATAATATTTATTGGCTGCAAGGGGCGTGTCCACAAACTAGTGATGAGTGAGTCAAACCATATTAACTCATTTGTGGCTGTAGATAAGCAGGCATACTCAGAGTCTGCAGTCGAGCAAGATATGAACTTCTGTCTGCTAATTTGCCAATGAATTGGGCTGTCATTAAAATAAATTGCAAAACCAGATGTACTTTTTCTAGATTTAGGGTAGCTTGCCCAGTTTGAGTCAGCAAAGCATTTCAGTTGAGCTGATTTCCCTTTGCTAGGTTCTAAAAGGAGAACTGCATCAGCTGTTCCCTTTAAATATCTTAAGACCTTTTTTACACCTTTCCAGTGATATTGTTTTTGCTTTTGAGAATGCCTGGATAAAAGATTTATAGCTACGAAGATATCCAGCCTGCTCCATTTGCTAATAAATAGGAGTGATCCTATTACAGATCTATAAAAGGTTGTATCTTCATAGATTTCACTATCATCATGTGCATGGGCGAGATAATTAGTTTGCATAGGGGTACTTGTTATACTTGCGTTTTCCATATGGCACCTTTCAATTAATTCAATTATTTTTTCTTTTTGTGAAAGGCTAAACCCCTTCTCAGTTTGAGTTATTTGGACACCCAAGTATCTATCTACTTGACCTAGGGATTTTAAAGTAAATTTTCTCCCTATAATTTCTGCAAATTTATCACATGTGGCTTTGTTTGGCCCTATGTAAAGGAAGTCATCCACGTAGACTAATATTTTTTCCAAAATATTGTGTGCCCTTTTTGTAAGCAGGCATTGGTCAGCTGGCGAGGTGGTGAAACCTATTGACCTCAGTAATTTGGTGAAGTGTTCATACCACATAAGGCCTGATTGTAGGAGACCATATAGGCTCTTTTGTAGTTTCCAAGTTGAGCCCTCTTGTCAGCCTCAGCTTTGCCTGCTTCAGCTGCCATAAGAAACGGGGGGGGGGACCAGTTAAGGGGGCGAAGGGGGGGAAGATTGCAGGAGGTGTCTTACCAATGCAGGAGGTGTCTTTCCAAGAAACGAAACTGAATCTCCAAAGGGGCCGGCTGACCAACTGCCCTACATTCCTGATGGATGACGTTGCCAGGCATGATGCCACCTGACCTTTGGGAGACCTTTGGATTGGATGATGGTCAATGGACACGGGGGGGGGGAGAAGCTTACTAGATGCTATTTCGCACGTTTTGCTCACTTCCAGCTTTACCTGGGTTGCGATCATTTCATATTCAGTAAAAGTACTAATCTCTTTTAAAATATTGAGTTTGGGTTTTCTTTCCTGGATATTGAAGGAAGCATACCTGACATTAAGCTGGAAGTCACATCCAGTCATCCTGGACAAAAACCGTGGGGACTGTAAATCCAAATTATGTCAGATCGAGAGAGTGACGGAGAGCAGGGGGGAGCCAGAAGAGACAGCCTGTGGAGGAGAGGAAGATTTTGAGGAAGAAACATCCCAGGCTTCGGCAGTTCAAAGGAGAGATGCAGCTGGCCAGAGAACCCCAGCCTTGCAGGCCCCCCCTCGCAGACGTAAAAAGCCAAAAATCCCCCCCCTTCCTGGGAAGTATGATGGAAATCCAAAAACCTTGGGATTTTTCCTGACCCAAGTGTGGAACCACATGCAGGATTGGGGGGAGGACTACGTATCAGATGCTGCCAGAGTGAGAAGTGTCACGAACGCCTTAGAGGGAGTAGCCGCTGAGTGGATGGTGGTTCTCCACAATAACAACTCCCTCTTGCTGAGAAATTACAACCAGTTCATGGGGCCCCTTAGGAGGCGTTTTGAAGACCATTTAGCTGAATGAAAGGCAAGACTCAGGATGAAGAGCATCCAGCAGGGCCGGAGACCGGTGGCAGAGTATATCCAAGAGTTTCGTGAACTGGCACCCTATATGACAGGCTGGTCAGAAATGGCTCTTTTGGAGAGTTTCAAAGATGGATTGAATGAAGAGATATATCGAGACTGTAGAAGCATGGAGGTCCCCAAAGATTTGCAGAGATGGTACATAGTAGCTGAGGATGTGGAGATCGAACTGAGACGGAGCGAACCCCGAGGAGGGCGTATGGGGGACCAGTCATCCTCTTTCCACCGTAAGGGGGCACCAAAGATGGCTGGGGGGAAGGCCGAATTCAAACCCAAGTCAAAGCCCTTCACCTGTTTCAAATGTGGGAAAGAAGGACACCGGGCTGCCGAATGCTTCTCCAAGCCACTGCCAAAAGCTGCCGGGCCCGGGTCGAAGAAAGGCGACAAAATACCCGCCAAAACCCACGGCACCGCCCTGAAAGGAGAAGTCATTGAGTTCGCTCCCCGAAACCAGGGTGAGTTGGGAACTCCGACCAACGATGACGACAGCAAGATGGACGCCGGCTCCGACACCGACGATCGGGTGAGTCACACGGAAGAACCCTTGCTCATCCCCGTAGAAGTAAGGGTGCCATCCACAGGGGCCCATGTGCAAATGTTAGCCCTATTGGACTCGGGGTGCACTAGGTGCATAATTAGCCCCAAGGTGGTGGAGGAAATGGGACTTGATGGATTGGATTGAACAATTAAAGAGCACATGGGCAGTAACTCGGAAGGCATTAGATGAGGCACACCGGGCCCATAAGGCGCAAGCTGATAAGAAAAGGTCCCCAGCTCACATTTATAAAGTGGGTGATAAAGTCTATTTGTCTACTAAATACTTACAGACTACCCAGAAGTCAAAAAAGCTGGGCCCTAAGTATGTGGGACCATTTCGTGTGATTAGACTGATTAATCCAGTAACAGTTGAATTGGAATTGCCAAAAACGTTGAGATGTATACATCCTGTATTTCATGTTAGTTTATTAAAACCTGAACACTCGTCTCCCCTAAGGGCTGACCAAAGCACCCCTCCAGTTCCCATTCTCATAGAGGGGGAGCAACATTTTGAAGTTAAGGAAATCTTGGACTCTAGGAAACACCATGGTAAAGTCCAATATCTGATAGCCTGGAAACATTTCCCTTTGTCTCAGGCTGAATGGGTGAATAAACGGGATGTCCGAGCTCCCAAGACAGTACAGCAATTCTATACCAAATACCCAGATAAACCATAATTATTGTATATATTCTGTTTCTCTCTCTTTTCCTTCCTCTTATCTAGAAATAATGTCTCTTCTGCAAGAGGGGCCGAATGTCAGCCTCAGCTTTGCCTGCTTCAGCTGCCATAAGAAACGGGGGGGGGAGGGACCAGTTAAGGGGGCGAAGGGGGGGAAGATTGCAGGAGGTGTTTTACCAATGCAGGAGGTGTCTTACCAATGCAGGAGGTGTCTTTCCAAGAAACGAAACTGAATCTCCAAAGGGGCCAGCTGACCAACTGCCCTACATTCCTGATGGATGACGTTGCCAGGTGTGATGCCACCTGACCTTTGGGAGACCTTTGGATTGGATGATGGTCAATGGACACGGGCGGGGGGGAGAAGCTTACTAGATGCTATTTCGCGCATTTTGCTCACTTCCAGCTTTACCTGGGTTGCGATCATTTCATATTCAGTAAAAGTACTAATCTCTTTTAAAATATTGAGCTTGGGTTTTCTTTCCTGGATATTGAAGGAAGCATACCTGACACCTCTTTTCCTTCAAAACCGGGTGGCTCCTTGAGGTAAATGTCCTCTTTCAGATCAGCATGCAGATATGCTGTTTTGACGTCGAATTGAAAAACTTTTTCACCTAAGGCCGCTGCGGTTGTTAAGGCAGCTTTTATTGTTTCGGCTCTGACGGTCGGTGAATAAGTGTCCAGGTAATCATCTGGGTACCTTTGGGCATACCCTTTGGCCACTAACTGGGCCTTGTATAACAATTTGTTACCTGGCATGGGTTTGGCTCTAAAAACCCATCTTGTCCCGATAGCGCTTTTGCCTTTGGGAACCTTGGCAGATGTATATACTTGCATTTGTTTAAGGCTATTCATTTCACAAAGCATGGCTTCTTTCCATCTTGCTTGCTCTTCTTCGAGTTGAAGAACATCTTTGTAGTTCTTAGGCACCGTGGTCACAGAGTTGATAGAAGCGATAACCCCTTCATACTTCTGTGGAGGGATCCCCTTGTTTACTCTTTTGGACCGTCTTACTTGGTGCCTTTCACCTTCTTCTTGTGATGACGTGTCAGCATTGTAACCCCTCTCGAATTTTAGAGGTCTTTTGCCTCGGGCACTTGGGGAAGTTGAAGATCTTTTCTTTGTGTAGTGACGTCGAGGTGAAGATGGGACACTGGATGGAGGCGATTCTTCAGATAGTGCTTCTGGTTCAGGTGAAGTGTCAGATGAGTTTCTTTCATTGCGTTGCACTCGTGGTGATGGTTGCTGTTGCTGTTCACCATCGTTTGTAGGCGTGATAGGCAGAATGTTTTCTTCATCTTTGAAGTAGACACTGGTGTCATTGCAATGAATTCTCCCCCAGCTTTCATCTTGTTGGAAGTTGGCTGACCTGGAGATAACAACTTTATTTCCTTCATCTAAAAACTTATATGCTTTTGTGCCAGGGGCATACCATTTTCTTTGAGTTTGGTCCCTCTTTTCTTTTTAGTTGTTTAGGGATATTCACCCAGGCATGTGTACCGAAAATTCGTAGATGGGATAATTTGGGTTTTCGCCCATACATGTAATATGGGGTTTGGTCGAGAGTTTTTGACCATGTTCTATTAATTATATAATTAGCGCAGAGGACGGCTTCTCCCCAGAAGGCTCTGCTTAACTTAGCGTCCACTATTAAACAGTTTATTATAGTTTGCAACAAACTGTTACGTCATTCAATGATGACATTTTGAAAGGTGGAGTAAGGTGCCGTTTTGTGGTGTTTTATGCCCTTGCTTTCAATCCAATTTTGAAACTTGGTGGACATGAATTCCGCACCACCGTCGGTCTGCAATTCAGCAATGTTTACTTTATGTTGAGTTTTGACTAAATTATAGAAGCTTTTAAATTTCTCGAAGGCTTCGGCTTTGTCTCTAATTGTATAAATGTAGCCGTAGCGAGTATGATCATCTACAATCATTAGGAAGAAATGCTTCCTGCCTAAAGAGGCTGAAAAAGGGCCAACTATGTCCATATAGACCCGCTGAAACATGTTGTTGGCACGGCGTTTCGCAATTTTGGCCTATTTGCTTCCTTACTTTTAGCTTCTTTGCAGATAGCACAGTCTAGGTGTGCTTTACATTTTCTAAGGTCTAAACCCTCAGTAAATAGTGGCATCTTGTCAATTACCTGGAAACTGAAGTGCCCTAGCTTTCTGTGTAAGATATGAACGCACTTACTATGAAGTGATTTTCCCTTAGAGGGCACTTTGTCACTGACCTTTTTGTTACCTTGAGATGTTTGAGATTCAATATCATTTTGGGTAGTCATTTCATCTATCTGCGCTCTGGCTTCCTTCTGCCTGTTGCTCCACTGCTCTAGAACCTTGGGCTTAACAAGTGGGATTAGGTATGGCAAATCATTAAACAGTTTTAAACTAGCAACAATAACATTTTGTTTTGTCACATAACCACCAGTTTCCTTGAGTTTAATATTAATACCATTTCCCCTGCATAACTTTGTGCTACTCAGCAAGTTATTGGTTATCTTTGATACAAACAGTACTCCCTCAATATCGCCAATCCCTTCAATATAAACTGTTCCCACTCCTTCAACAAGTACATTAGCACCTGTGGCAACTTTTACATTAGATAATGTTATCTAATGTAAAAGTTATTAGATATGTGAGGGAGTTTTGAATCTTGTAGTAAGTTAGCATATTTTAGCTTATGCTTGTTTAATGTTATACCCTGTTTTTGCTCTGGGAAGTCGGGAGGGTGTGGGGAGGGGGGGGTTGAAGGTTGTGCGGGGATAAAATTGTTGTCTAATTTTTAATAAAACTAAAAGATAGAAAAATGTATTAATAGAGAAGTAAGAAATGTGGGGAAATGTCATAATAAAGGAAATGATAATACTAAGATATGATAAATACTGGAGGAGTAAAAAGAAGACACAAAATATGTATTCAGAAGATACACTAAATGATTGATTATGTATTGTTTGTTTGCTTGTTTATAAAATAAAAAAAACTTTTTAAATAAAAAAAACATATCTCTTGAATTTTGGAGGTCAGATAGCCTCATTGTTATGAGGAGATTAGTGAGGGATTCATTTAAGTCATTTTCCTCAGTTAAAGCCTTTACGATACTGTATTTGGACTTTGCTGCTTCTTTGGGGTCAGGAGTTGCTTCAAGCAGAAGATCATAAGGGTCTTCTTCTGCTGTTACTTTGCCAATATTTTCCTCATAGTGAGAGGAAAAGTCAATTAGGGGCCTTTCAGGACTTGTGGCTACTGACCTGTATCCTGCAATTCACCCACTGGCTCCTCTTTCAGCATATTCTTTAGCGTCTTCATCAGAGCTGTCAAAATCAGCTGTTCTGCTGGTCGCGTTTGTTTCGTGGTTTTCTTGATGCTGGCTAGCCATCTGAATCCTCTGGGCTCTGGTTAATACTGGGGATTCACGGGTCCAAGTAATTTTCTTTTTAGTGACCCCTTTTATTTTAGATGACATATGTGAGCTTGCTAAAGATCATTAGACCACAACCATCCTCTTGCTACCAATTTGTTAGAAAAGTTTTAGTTTAGGTTGTAGAGGTCAATAAGATCTTGGAATGTCTCAGCAGCTACAATTAAGCCAGATTTCTTTTATCAAGAAAAACTTTGTTTATTTAAAACCAATAAATTATTTACATTTTAAATCACAGAACATTGTCACTTGGTCTTTATTTCTTAGGTAAATGTGCCTAGAGCATATTCCCTTCTTCTCTCTCTCCTCTTATTTTCCTCAAGTGTGTGACTAAAGGGGGTCATATTTATAGAGTGGCTAAGCCACTCCCTCTTCAGTTCCTTAGACAAAATGGAGGGAAAGTATAAACACAAAACCATCCTTCCAGTATAGACAGTGTAGTTCAGTGGCATTATTTTAGATTATTATCTGACATGGTGTGAATGTGTTTTAATGTTTTTAATTTTTAAATGTTTTTATAATGATTTTTTAAATGTATTGTAAACCGCCCTGAGTCTTCGGAGAAGGGCGGCATATAAATTGAATAAATAAATAAACAGAATGGCTGCAAAAGAAAAGAATGAAGGTGTTGCAATGGCAGTCAAAGTCCAGACCTCAACCCGATTGATGGAACTTCAAGAGAGTTGTGCATAAAAAAACACCCACAAACCTCAATGAACTTGTTAAGGATATTGGTGTTGTGTTACCAACCAGCAGAGTAAATGCACAAGGAAACGTTGCTGAGAGCAATGAATAAGAGTTATGCAAACTGGTTTATCAAAAGCTTACTTTATAGTAGAAAAACAGTCTCATAGTCTTTAAACAAATTCCAAGTCTTTGCCAGTAAATCAGTCCAGTAGTTACAGAATCTTCTTACCCAACAAACAGTAGTTGGTTAGAATAACAAACTCACTCTGGTTCACAAACCACGATGGTTGCAGATCCATCAAACGATGATTACAGATAACAACTCCTCTCAATGGTAGCATATCATCACAGCTTCATCATCATAGCAGACTGAATACGTTACAGTACCTTGCTTAAATACTCTCATAACCAGTCATTATGTAATTACAGCATGACTCAGCATTAAAGTCACATAATACATTTACAGCTTAAAGCTACAGTACACTTATATTGCCTGGACAACATAGTTAGGCTCAAACCATATCCTAACATTCTCCCCTTTGGACAGGTCAATATATACAGTTTAGATTCTTAATCCATAGCTTTCACAACACGTTCTATGTTCTATAGCACCTTGCACTTTGGTAAAATTATCAGCTATATTGTCTTCCGACATACAATATTCCAACTTAACCATGTTGCTTTGGATACACTGATGAACATTCAGATACCTAATGTCAGTATACTTCTAGTTTTAACTGCTAAATTTGTTGCCATTTTAATAGCAGCTTGGTTGTCCTCATGTATTACAATTGGATAATCCATCTTTAAACCAATATCCATCATTTGTTGTTTGTAATAAATTAAATCAGTACAAACTAGTGACAAACATGAGAACTCCGCCTCCATAGTCGAAAGACTAATATGTTTTTGACGAATTGACTTCCAGTCAATCAAACAATTGTCTAACATGATAGCTATACCCGATGTGGACTTTCTGGTGGTCACATCAGTAGCAAAACTGGCATCAGCATATGCACTTAATACTAAATCATTGTTAGGTTCCAGATACAATGCATAATGCATCGTCATTTTCAGATATCTTAATATACGCTTTGCGGCCTGCCAATGCCTATCAGTTGGCTCTGCATTATATCTTGCTAATTGGTTTACTCCAAATGAAATATCAGGTCTTGACCAATTGCTTATATAAGATAGACTACCTATTAGAGACTGGTAGATCTCCTTACTAAATTTAGGACTTTGGATTTCTCCTTGTTGAAAATCCTGTGCCATAGGCGTTTTAGCTGGCTTACATAGCTCCATGCCATAACGTTTTAACATTTGGCTTATTTTGCTAGATTGAGATATTTTATAACCTCTAGCTGTTTGATTGATAGCTAAACCCAAATAATGCCTAATATTTCCTAAATTTCTAATCTTAAATTTGGTTTCTAACTGTTTAACAATATCTATGTCTTCCTTGTCAGTTTTAGTTACTATGGCTATATCATCTGTAAACAACAATAGAAATGATACTACACCATTATTTTCTCTTTTAAAGAGACATTTATCCGCTACACCTTCATGAAAACCGATCTTATTTAGCTCTTTAACTATACATTGGTTCCACTCAAACCCTGATTGTCTCAAACCATAAAGGCTTTTATTTAACTTCCAACAATCAGTGTGGTTTTGTGTTTCAACTCCTAAAGGCTTCCTCATATAGATGGTGTGTCTCAATGGAGCATGCAAGTATGCTGTCTCTACATCTATATGGTTAATACTATATTTATGCTTAACCGCCCACACTAGCATTGTTCTTAAAGTACTAGCACGTAAACTAGGTGCAAAAACCTCATCGAAATCCTTTTCGGTCTGAGAAAAACCTTGAGCTACAAGGCAAGCTTTATGGGTTACTGTGCCATCTATGCTTTTCTTAATTTTGTAAACCCATCTACAACCTATTAATTTTTCACCAGGTGGCAATTTCACAGTTTCGTAAACACCTAACTTGGTTAAAGAATTAATTTCCTTACTCATTGCCTCCTTCCAAGCATTCTGCTCCTTTTCAGGATAAAGCTTGATATCTTCATAACTTGAAGGTTCTATGTTCACCTGGCAAACTACGGTTGCTTTATATCGATCTGGTGGATGCCTTTCCCTAGTAGATCTCCTAGGTACAACAGGATTTACAGCAGATTGCTCATCTGACTCCTCCCCTAAAATTACCTCATCTAAACCTACTTCCTGTTCTTCCTCCTTTATAGAGGATTTTACA